TCAGAGACTGCAAAATTTCTGATATTGGAAGTCACATTGTATAGTTAAGAAGGAAATGTTTTTGATTTTGGAAATCACAAGCCAAAATCAAGGAGTAAATGACTCCCAAACTTCAATTAACAGAACCCCTGGGATCTTGGGCTGGGGGCTTATGCAGAGGACGGTCTTGGCATAGTGGTTATTGACATTGAATTTAAGTAAACACTCACCACAGACAAATTAAATCAATTAGTGGTTTAAAGGTAGAGCAACACAGTCTTCTAATCCAAAAATCATGCGTTTGTACTCCACTGTAAAGTAGATTCCCTATCAGCTTTCTTAATTTAAGCTGGTGTGACTGCTTATTAAGACACTTGTGAAGCAGTACGTGATCTTAGATATTCATCCTGCACAACTTTATGTACTATGTTAAGGTCATCAAAAGATGGTTTGACATTAGTTTTAGAATAAAAAAATAGCATAAAAATCGTTAAGGGGTAGCAATATAGGCTAGTATGTTGGTATTTTGAAAATAAATACATCCCCCTCCAATAAATGAGAAAGACAATATCAACAAATATTACTTTTAAGTAATATATAGTCTTTCTTAGACCTATATTTGAATGTCATTGGAATTAATTTTTATTTAAAAAAAAAAAAACAGGAAGTACTACTGCTGGTGATAGAAGAATGATGATAATCTGAAGATTGAATCTGTGCACCTATTGAAGGAGAACTATTTAGTTTATTTTTATCTCAAATTTGTGTTGTTTTTTCTTTTTTTGTTTGGGGGAAAGCTGGTGGTGGTGCGGTAATAATAGGGGATGCGGAATAGCCACTTTAGGAAAAAAGACAACACTTTAACCAACCAAGATAGGATAACAAATTTAGAAGAAAGTCATTCCCTTCAAATCTCTTATTTACAATAAACTGTTCACTTAAAAAAGGTTAAAAGAAAGGTGCTATATAAGAATAGCATTTCAGAGTTATGGATACTATGAAATATGATGTGAAGGGTATAGTTGCTTCAAGGTCATGTTTTGAGTGATTTTGACAGCATTTCCGACATGCATGTCACCAGATTGTATCATAGAGGCAACAATTTGTTTGTTATTACCTGAAGTTGTCCTACATTTATGGTGATTGCGTGAGATCAAGGCGAGGCAGATAACAATGTTGTAAACAATTTCAATTATTTTTGTCATTTTGTATCTGTACATGTTACCAGAACAGGTTTGTAGTAATTAGTGCTGGTATTTGTGTGTGGTAATAGCTACAACAAAATATATTTGCAGTGCCATGACAAAACCCATATAGTGCGTTTGTAACTAGCATCGATCAAGACCAGCTTGCGCATTGGCACAGTCTGAACAGCATCCATGTTGTTTGCTTACAAACCCTATGAGAAGTAGAGAAATTGATAATGAACATTATGGATGCTGATCAGACTGCGCTGGTGCGTAAGCTGGTCTAAGATCCAAACTGGTCGCAAACACAGTATGTTGGTTTTGTCATGGCATTTTATGTCTTGTATCTTTTCTAAGCTTTATCCACTCCTTGTAAAAAATATCCTTAAAAAAGGTAATTCCTTTAGAAATTAATAAATAATCTGTTAATGAAAAAATATTAGATAAAAGTGAAAGTGTTTCCTCAATTTTGAAAATACAACTTTGAAGGTGAAGGTCTCTTGAGGTTAGTGTCATGTTTAAGTGTGTTGAAATGAATTCAAGAGAGGTAAACTAAAGATATAAAGTTATATAAGCTCCAGCTTTCAAAATTTTGACATTTGACCTTAGAAGTCATTTAGGGGTCAAGGTCTAATCCTAGTGCTGTTTCCCAGGAGTTAGTTTTGCTCAGATTTGAAGGAAATTGTAGGAAATATGTTAGTAAAAACAGATTAAATTTAAGGTCATTTTGATTTCAATATGTGAACAGAAAGCCCTTGTCCAGGTATGATTTTAGGCTTTAGTTTAACCCTTTGCCTACTGGCAGTAAATTGATTCTACCCATGTCACCCATTATGCAGACCAAAATAATCATGATGAACTGTTCACAATAACTAAGTAAGTTAGTGTAACTTCTAAAATTTTAAAATTTTCCCTTAAAATGATAAACGGTTGAGTCCATATAATAAATTGATAGATGGACTTGTCCATTAAGATAAAGATAAGATTAAGATAGGATAAAAAAAGTTATTTCACTACCAGTAGACCACACTTGTGCTGTCTGACCAAACTCAATACTGTTTGCATGTTGATATTAGAATCCATCTCTTTTATACTAGATTGTATTAAATTCAAAGGCGGGCAAGTTCTTTTTATACCCCCGCACAACAAAGTTGTAAGGGGGGTATACTGGAATCAGCTTGTCCGTCCGTCCGGCCGTCCGGCCGTCCGTCCGTCCGTCGGTTTTTTCTTGTCCGCCCAATAACTTAAGATTCGTTTGACCCTTAGTCTTCATATTTGGCATGGAGGTTATTCATGATTAGTAGATGACCCCTATTGATTTTGAGGTCACTAGGTCAAAGGTCAAAGTCACAGGGGCCTTGACTTCAAAAAGCTTGTCCGCCCAATAACTTAAGATTCCTTTGACCCTTAGTCTTCATATTTGGCATGGAGGTTAGTCATGATTAGTAGATGACCCCTATTGATTTTGAGGTCACTAGGTCAAAGGTCAAAGTCACAGGGGCCTTGACTTCAAAAAGCTTGTCCGCCCAATAACTTAAGATTCCTTTGACCCTTAGTCTTCATATTTGGCATGGAGGTTAGTCATGATTAGAAGATGACCCTATTGATTTTGAGGTCACTAGGTCAAAGGTCAAGGTCACAGGGGCCTTGACTTCAAAAAAGCTTGTCCGCCCAATAACTTAAGATTCTTTGACCCTTAGTCTTCATATTTGGCATGGAGGTTAGTCATGATTAGTAGATGACCCCTATTGATTTTGAGGTCACCAGGTCAAAGGTCACATGGGCCTTGACTTCAAAAAGCTTGTCGGCCCAATAACTTAAGATTCCTTTGACCAACAGTCTTCATATTTGGCATGGATGTTGATCATGATTAGTAGATGTCCCCTTTTGATTTTGAGGTCACTGGATCAAAGGTCAAGGTCATAGGGACTTTGACTTTAAAAAGTTTGTCTACCCATTAACTTAAGATTCCTTTGACCCACAGTCTTCATATTTGGTATGGATGTTTATCATGACTATAAGGTGACCCCTATTGATTTTGAGGTCACTGGGTCAAAGGTCAAGGTCACAGGGACCTTGACAAAAAAAACTTTTCTTCTCAATTGCTAAATTATGTCCTGTCCGCAATGTATTGATTTTGACATTTTCACATTTGAAGCATGTAGAATACATAACTTAGCAATGCACTGGCTTAGTAACCTCAGATTTGGCAGGGAGGTTGTCCTTGAGCTCTAAATGGCCACTGTTGATTCTGACAAAGTGGTATGCGGGGGTATTCAAGCCATGATAGTGGCAGTTCTAGTTAATTATAGAAAAATTGGCTGGTTAAGGGTTAAAGTCATTTTAGTTTTGACAGAATTTCATTGAATTCTTGTGTCACACTTTGGTGTCTTAATTATGAAAAAATGGAAAAGGACACGTTATATTTATATTAACGTTGTAAAGGATGGAAAGCTCTTCAGTCACGGAGGAAACATAATGAATACCGGCAAGAGATCTGTCTGAAGTGATTATGACTTTATTTTATTTTAACAACTGAAGTGACAAATTCATTTAATAATACCACCGCCATTTCAACAATTATTTAGCATATTTCCCCCTACTTAAAGTGTCGCGAACCACATTTGTTTTGCAACTTCACGGTGGTAAAACCATAAAATCGGACAGTTTATTATCTGACAATAGTTAACATGGCTCCAAATTAACTATATTTGTCACTCTGGTCGGCAAATCCCTGTCACGTCTGACGCTTAAATTGATAATCTTCACACCTCAAAAAATATCTTGATGAATTTTATAAATGACAGATAAGAAATGAAATTGGACATTTGTCATTTACGAAATAAACGATCATTTTTCAAGGGTGCAACTTGTTTAAGAATACCCACACATGGGCTGATATCCTGTATTTCAAAAAAGAGAGATTAAATAAAAGTGCTTATTGTAAAGATTTAATTGCACAGTCTCGCATAATAGGCGTCAAATTTGCGTACATGATAAGATAGAATAAAAGGGTCGTATTTCATGCAAGGTTATTTTTTCTTAAATGAGCAATTACCAGTCATATGTTTTCAATGATAGATTTAATCAGTTAAATATTGAAAAGTATTAAGGGTCAAGGATTTTAAAATCAACTTGTCAATTTAACATGACATTGCTGTTTTGACAAATATGATTTTTTTAACAAGGTCAAAGGGGAGTAACTTTGATATATTGTGTGGGAGAACTCTTACAATATATTTTTGTCATTAAAATTATGTAGTCTATGATGTTACTGTAAAAAAAATCAAATTCTGTTTAAAGATGATAAAAAAATCTTAATATAATAATGATTATCAGACAAGGGTTTTTATATGGGAATGAAATTTTGCATTATCCTTAAAATTGGGAATTCTAGCTGTGTGTTTTCCTTAACTTTGGGAATTAACTTGTGGAGTCATCATTTTGTTCTTACAAGCAGATAGATAAAAATTAGCTCACAAATTTACAATAATAACTACCATAATATGTAAGGTATTATTTTCAAATGGAAATTTGACCCATATTGGCTATAAATCAAACCAGATCCCCATTCCCCCCGCCCCCACAACCCCACCGTCTCAACCAGACAGCATTGATGTACTGGGCACCCTGATTATTATATAAAACAGTTGCATATGACTATCATGACATTGTATGGGATGATATTTCAGGAAATCAGATGTGAACTTTATAAATGATTTAATCTGGGTTTCTTTTTTTAATTTCATATGACACATTTCAGTTAGTTAAACTGCTGTGCAAGATAAATTTTGTACCATGTGATAATGATACAAATTTAACGTATATTTTCAGGTTACCAAAGATATATTTTGGCACACGGACACACAAACAGATTGCTCAGATAACCAGAGAGTTAAAAAAGACTGCCTACCATGATGCTAGGTATATATGGGGATTTTTCCCCCCGCTACTGTAATAGTATATTGTCTTTAAATCTGAATTAAAGGACATGTCATGGTTTGAATAGGAAACTGTCCAGTGGTTTTGCTTCTTGTAAACCTACATAATGGTTATGCATGTACTTGTTTTTTGGCTGCAGAATGCTTAAGTAATTTCTTTACCTACAGAATGGTCATTTTAAGTTGTATCCCTGCATAATTGGTAATTGTTTAATACAGAATGGGTATATAAGTTTTGCAGAATCATTATATGATCTTTTAATATAGAATGTTTATTTACATTTTAATATGTGCAGAATGGTTATATAATTTTATGTATTTAGAATGATTATATTAGTTTAATTTGTGCAGAATGGTTATATAATTTACTCATAAAGAATGGTTACCTATGTTTTATACCTGCAAAATGGTTGTATAATATATTAATATAGAATGGTTATCTAGTTTTCAGTATGTGCTAATGGTTATATAATTTTATGCATAAAGAATGGTTATATAAGTTAATACTTTAGACTGATTATATGAGTTCTATATTTTCAGAATGGTTATATTAGCCAGTAGGGAGTATACATGTATACATCCAGAGGTGACCATACAAAAGAACAAGAGTGAGGGATGTAGAGAAAGGCTTGATATTCATGTAAGTTTATATGACTTATTTTGCATCTATTTTATCAAAATAACACTGTTTTTACTTATTTTTGCATATTTGATGACATTAGATAAATACATTGATAAAGATATTACAGTTAAATCATATATAAATGTACCCCTTGAATAGTTTTCTTCAAACTTGGCTCAAATTTTCATCTCAGCAAGGTGGTTCCAGAACCCTTATCTCTGCTATGGCTGCTCAAAGTCACGGTCACTCTGAAGGTCAATTTTGCATCTTCTCTATAAATCCTAAACCCCTTGATGGATTTTCTATCAAACTTTGCTTAAATGTTCACCTCAAAAAGGTGATATGCAAAATCCATGCTTTAGCTGTGCTAGCTCAAGGGCTTGAAGGTCAAATGTCAGATAATATGCATGTCAGGTCTATAAATCCTATACTACTTTAATGATATTTCTTCAAACTTCATCACTTTCAAAATAATGATTAATGGACCTGCAAAAATCTGGTGTCATAGAGATGATGGGGTTTTTTCAACTATTAATCACTTTTGTGGTAGCTCTTATTGTAATATGTTATCAGCACTAATATCTATATGTGTTATAATGTGAATTCACTTATTTTCGTGGCTATGAAATTTCTTGTTTTTGTCATGCAGAACATTTTGTGTGTAATGTTAAATTCTTGGACAGTCTATTTTGAATTATTTTTTCATTTTATCATGTTTCATGTGTTGTGTGTAAACATTCACAGGGTCAAGGATGTAAGTTCAATGACAAGTCAAAGAGAGTGTTTCTATCACAGAGACAGTTACAGGACGAACTACCTACAGCCTGGGATCTTGAGGACTTGGTGTCATCTTGTACCAAAAAGAAGGTAGGTGCTAAAATATGTTATTATTTTGGCCAAAATATGCATAGTCTTTTTCTACTACATCTTTTCACTTTCAACACTAAATTAAGACAGCAAGTAGAAGATTTTATGGCAGTTACACACATGTATAAGCATTCTTCATCATATGTTCTAGAGGTTATGTTCTGAATATGGTAAAATGTGGCAAATGATTTTACCTAGGGAAATGATTTTATGTAGGCTGATATAGAAAAATTACTTCTATCCACAGTCAATAAGCCAAAATTAGAGAAACCCTATAAAGACTTTTGCTTATGAAAATAAACAACAGTTAAGGCTTTGCTAATTAAAGTGTGCCTAACCCCAGTGAATGGTGTCACCATTGTAATATTTATAAACAAATAAGTCTGAAATGTAATTTGGTACTGGAAAATATTTTCTCTGTGTTTTGCACCAAATTTAATTAAAAGGTTCCACATTAAATTTTATTTTTATGTTAATATTCATTGTATATATTTTCAGGCATGCCCTTATTTTGTGACGAGGAATCTCAAAGAAGGCGCTGATATTATATTTTGTCCTTACAACTACCTCATTGATCCACTTGTTAGAAAAAGTGTAAGTGTGTTACATTCTCAACACTAAAATACAGTGGTGGGGTTGTCCCTGAGGGCCCAGGTTGTTAAGATCACTTACTTCTTTTTCACTTGACCCTCTCTGTCGTGAACTCGCAATCTGCCAGGGAGATTGAATACAGCACATAAGGACATTTTAAAGCAAGCTTTTAATTAAAAAAAAAAATCCACACCAATTATATATATATGTGTATTAACATCTTAAAATCTAGTATTAAAGGCTTAATAGGTTTGTTAAAAAATTCCTAATTTACTATTTGGTTACCATGCCAGGGCTTTTCTCAGGGGACCCTAACAAGACATTTTGGCATAATGGGACAAAAAACCTGATGCAAGGTATTGAATTTTAGATGAAAACTGCATGATTTTTTAAATAACTTTCTCAAAGGGAAGCAGCCCTTTATGAGCCCTTTATATAAACGGGAAATTATCCCTGTATGCTTAAATTTCCCTGTATAAAAGGCATGTGTTGTTGCTGTCAGGGGTTGTTGCTGTCAGTGGCTTACACCCATGTAAATGTTAAGTGTTTGTTTTTGTAGATGGATATAACATTGAAGGATCAGATAGTGATATTAGACGAGGCTCACAATATAGAGGACTGTGCGAGGGATGCGGCTAGCGGTAGTGTAACCACTGACCAGATCACACAGTCTATATTAAATCTACAGCAACTTAGTGAGTTATTCTTGTAATGTAATTGTGATGTAATTAATGCGATTTATACCTATATTGCAAAGGGTATTCATGACCAAGTGGTTAAGGTTGTTGCTGCTGTGGGTTCAAATCCCTCTTAGGACTTTGGATTTATTTGTCTGACAAAGATATCCAGCTAGCTTGCGGAACGTTGTTGGTTCTACTGTGGTGCCTGTTTGTACCCGAAATAATGCAAGGAGGTTCACCTGATATCTTTCTCCACCAGTAATTGTAAAGCTGTAAAGCGCCATATTTGTTGGTGCAACTTAAAATCCAATGAAAAAAAAGATATATTGTTCTGGCTTACATTTTTAATTTTGTAAACTTTTTTCTAAAAATGTAAAATTAAATCTTCAAAAATTTCGTTATTTCTATTTTTAACAATTGTAAAATGTATTTACTTTATTTTAAATACAGACCTGTTATTGTAACATTACAGGATAACAATATAAAAGTGGTAAGTTCCGCAGCACATAGTCTATAGGCAGGTCAGACTGCACAAATTAGTGACTACAATATAAGTGTTATAGGCCTGTTGTTGTTGTTGTTGGTTGTAGATATTAGAGATGGTGATAAAGTTGTTGGTAGTCACTTTAAGTCTAGAGCAGGTTTTTTCTGGCACTAGGTAGAAGTGCTTACACATCTCACTTGCTGGAGACTGAAGTACAGACCATACAATTGCAAATTCCAACACATGTGTAACAAACAAATATTTCATGTATGTTTTGTATTTATAGATATATCCTTTTTAGCTCGACTATACGAAGTATATGGAGAGCTATCCTACTCGCCCCGGCGTCGGCGTCCACGTCCGCGTCCAGATTTTAGATTAAAGTTTTGGTGCAGTAAAATATTTTTCACTATAACTTTGTCATTTCTTAAGGTATCAACTTCAAACTTCAAATATATGTTCCTTATCATCAACCACATCTTATGTGACAAGGTTCATAACTCTAGCACCAACATTTTCAGATTTATCTCCCCTTGAACTTAGAATTTTCCTAAAAAATTACTATTTCTTACTGTTTCTTCTTTATTTCTTAAGGGATCAACCTCATACTTAAAATATATTTACGTTATCATCAACCACATCTTATGTGACAAGGTTCATAACTCTAGCACCAACATTTTCAGATTAATCTCCCCTTGAACTTTGAATTTTCCATAAAAAATATTATTTTTTACTGTTACTTATTTAATTCTAAAGGGATCAACTTCATACTTCAAATATATTTACGTTATCATCATCCACATCTTATGTGACAAGGTTCATAACTCTAGCACCAATATTGCAAGAATTATCTCCCCATAAACTAAGATTTTTTTACTAGAAATTTTTTTTTTTTTTATTATAACTTTTTTATTTTTAAAGGTATCTACCTCTAACTTCAAATACTTATTTCTTATCATCAATTACATTTTATCTGACAATGTTCATAACTCTTGAAACAATATTTACAGATTTATCTCTCTTTAATAACTTCTTTACTTTTTAAGGTATCTACTTCAAACTTCAAATATATATTTCTTATCATTACACAAATGTTGGATGACAAGGTCCATAACTCTAGCATGACTATTTCTAGAATTATTCCCCTTGATCTTGGAATTTATGTTAACAAATGTTATTTTTTTACCATAACTTAATACATAATTATACATTGATTTTTCTTTCATAGTTTTGTCCTCCTTACTGTGTCCAGTATTTTATTAGTCGAGCTTCGCTGTCTCCTGTGACAGCTCTTGTTTAAAGAAGCTCAACCAAGGTCCAAAAACCTAAAATAGTAAAATTTGTAAAATCTTGCACAGACCAAATAGGGTACTCATAAACGAAACCAATACGAAAATGATAATAAAGATATATATGTATGCTGAGAATTAAATTTTGCCGAATAAAAATGTTTTTTTTTCAAAAATGGAGTGAGTGAATGATCTGAAATTTTGCAAGTTATTTGGTAAAGACTCGCATCAAATGGTACATTATAAGCATGAAAAAATAGTTCCAGTCTTGTCCCACCAACCCCAAAACAAACAAAAAAAAAAAATCAGTGGAGTCCCTTTAAAGATGTCAAAACATGATGTAAGTAAAAAAAAAGTTACACAGTTTTCAAAATACATGTAATTTGCAATGATTTATACTTTAATACATTGTTATATGTCTTTATAGTGGAGCACAACATCAAGTATGTAGAGCATCTTAAACTAAGGAACATGGTAAGTTTACTGATTATCATTCATTTAAACTATAACCTACCTCATTCTGTATAATGAACTTGCCCAGTATTTGTATTTGGAACATTCCATTTAGGGTTTAAGGTATTTCAATAACAAAATGTGAAAAATAGAGCTACCTACAGTATAGAGCCTGGTCAGACTGCACAAAGGTTACAAAGGTTGATTATTTGGCCCCAGCAGGTTAAGAGTGAAGGTTTTGTTTATATATACAAGGCATAAGAACCTTTATTTTATATTTGCATACATATATGTGCAAAGAACATCAGCTGTCTGTTGCCAAGTTGGTTATGGTAATTGACTATAAACCACTTCCCCCAACCGCTGAGGGTTTGAATCCTGCTAGGTATGTTGGATTCTGTTTTGTGTGGAAGCTATCCAGCTAACTTATGGAACTTCTGTGGTTTCCTGGAACTTCTGTGGTTTCCTGCACCACTTAAGCTGGAAATGCTCCATATGACCTCTACTGTGTTGGTGTGACGTAAAACCAAACAAAAAACAACAAACAAACAAACAAGACTCTTTATCAACAAGCATATAGCATAAATATAACATATACAGGCAGATGTAAAAAGTTTATTGGATGATGTAGTTCTAATTAAGACAATGAACAAAGTTGCACCTGAGGTCTTTTTCCACCAGTAGAGCTTGAAAGTTGTCATCTGACATTTACAGAATGGATTTGACTTAAAAATCTGCATCCCCACTCCCCCCCCCCTCCCCCGCTTAAAAAAAAGTTATCAGTAACACAGTAACATATTTATATATTATACTGTTATTTTGTTAGTTGGAGAGCTTGTTAAACTTCATAGAGGGAAACAACTCCAACTTGGATCAGTCGGATTACGATACCTCGTACAAAGTTTGGTCAGGATTTGACATTGTTGTACGGTTAAAGGGAATAGGTCTTGGACCTGACAGTTTCCAGGAATATCAGGTAGGATATTAATTAAAAGTTTTGCTTTGTAAAAAAAACTATATAATAAAATATGATATAATGAATATTATCTCTTTTTGTGCCCCCACTTTAGTGGCGGGCATTTAGATTTACCCTTGGCCGTCCGTCCGTCCTTCCGAGCAAACATTTTGGGTTTAGTGGCTATATAACAGTAAAGAGAACAATAGGTTCATTACGTGATCAAAGGGTTTATGAGCTAGTAGCCCTTAAGAAAACAAAGAAAATAACAAAGAAAATAGTCCCTAAACCCAAAATGTTGGAACGTCCTTCTGTCCGTCCGTTCTCTTTTGTGTCGCACGTAACTCAAAAAGTATTTGACCTAGAGTCATGAAACTTTACAGGAATGTTGATCAGCATGTGTAGTTGTGCACCTGTTGTGCACCTGGGTATTTTCGTCTGGATATTTTTAGTATTTTTAGAGTTATTGCCCTTGACTTAGTAAAATTTTGCAATTTTCAACTTGTGTCGCATGTAATTCAAAGAGTATTTGACCTAGTCATGAAACTTTACAGGAATGTTGATCAGCATGTGTAATTGTGCACCTGGGTATTTTTGTCTGGATATTTTTAGTATTTTTAGAGTAATTGCCCTTGACTTAGTAAAATTTTGCAATTTTCAACTTGTGTCGCATGTAACTCAAAAAGGATTTGACATAGAGTCATTAAACCTTACGGGAAGGTTGCTCAGCATATTTAGTTGTGCACCTGGGGTTTCGCTTCTGGATTTATCCAGTATTTGTAGAGTTATTTCCCTTGACTTAGTAAAAACCGTTTCATTATGTTGTTATTTGTTCCTTAAGTGCTTGAGTTAGAATCAATCAACTTTACAGGAAAAATGATCATCATCACTAAATTACAGGAATAATGATTCACATCACTGTGAAGCTATGCACCTGGGACTTTGCATGTGGATTTTTTTCAGTTTTGTTAGAGTTATTGACCTTGACTTACATTAGTATGAATTTGCAATTTTCAATTTGTTCATGCATAGCTCAAAAGTATTTCACTTGTAGGCCTTAAAGTTTACAAGAATGTTTTGTCAGCATGTGTACTTATGCACCTTGGGGTTTGCTTGTGGATTTATTCAGTATTTGTAAAGTTCTTGCCATTTACTTAGTAAATGATTTTTAGTTTTCAAAAAAAATTTGACCTAGAGTCATAAGATTGACAGAACAGTGGCGCGGTGGGGGCACCCGTGTCCTATGGACAAATTTCTAGTTTCATTTTATGAGGTAAAATTTTTGTTTTTCATGTATTTTTGGCCCAGTTGGTTTGAAGATATTGTTCCCCATATGGAGACCATTGTGACAACTGATAATATTTGAACATTTTACATTATATCTCATATTATACAGTGAAGAAATGCTAAATGTTAACAAATTTGTTGTTCTATTGAAACTAGTTTTGTTATGAGAATTTTGTTATGAACATACCAAGCTTGAGATCCTCGAAAGGATTTACTATTGATTAAAAATGTGCCGAATCCAACACGGGTTTAAACAGAGGTTTCTTTTTTGTTTTAAGGGTTTTCTATAAACATAATGTTGACTGTGTTAAAATGGTTTTTATGTTACAGAGATGTTTTGAGCAAGCTGTAGCCCAGAATGATGATGAGGCTATAGCAGTTAGAGACAGGAGAAACAAGGAGGTAAAGATGAGCAGTAATACACAGAAAATACTGGAACAACTCTTCCAGATCCTAGATTATATGTACAGAGATGATCTCAAATTTGTTGAGGATTACAGGTACATATACAGTGTATATACAGTATATATAATTATATAAAACTTAGCTCTGGTTAGATGTGATCGAGGGGCGTCCGTGGCCGAGTGGTTAAGGTCGCTGACTTCAAACCACTTGCCACTCACCGCTGTGGGTTCGAATCCCGACAGGGACTTTGGATTCTTTCATGTGAGGAAGCTATCCAGCTAGCTTACGGAACGTCGGTGGTTCTACTCAGGTGCCCGTTTGTGCCTGAAATAATGCACGGAAGGGCACCTGAGGTCTTCCTCCACCAGTAAAGCTGGAACGTCGCGATATGACCTATACTGTGTCGATGTGACGTAAAACCCAAAACAAACAAACAATCAGATGTGATCTAAAATTTGGTGAGGATTACACAGTATGTGTATACAAGACTTAAATTTGATCTGGTTATATGTAGTCATTATATGTTCAGAGACGATCTCAAATTTGTTAAGGATTACACAGTATGATTAGACAAAACTTAACTCTGGTTATATAATTATTACATGTTCAGGGATGATCTCAAATATGTCCTGGATTACAGGTATGCATATATAAAACTTAACTCTTATATATACAGAGGTGATCTCAAATTTTGATGAGGATAACAGGTACGTATGCACAAAGTTTTACTTTATTGTTTCATTCAGACATATTTGTGAATAAATGTGATCACCCCTGATTCTGAAAAAAATGTGGGATTAATAGTTGCAGAGAAATTTGAAATTACTGATTAGATATCCAAGAAAGCTTGTTTATGTCTATGAAACAGTCTATGACTGGAATGATATGAGAAAAAAGTGTGTTGAAATCAGCTGAAAAATCAGACAATCAAAATCAATTAATTCATGTGATCATTCAAGTCTCAGATTCAATGCTCATGCATAGATTTCTTTATCAAGAATTAACATTAGACATTGAAATTATGGTTGCTATTTATACATGAATATTTGGTTATCTAGACAAATTTTAGCCCATGCTATACATGTAACATGAAAAAAAAATTGTTTTCTTTTTTGTTATGTTTTCAAATATGTAATCAGTTATGCACAATTTAAAAGGTATCACTTAGACAAAGATGGAAAAAAAACAATGTATTGTATATAAATTGAGTTGATTATGTTTAAAGTTTGTTATATATATGTTTTCGTAATGATATATTTTCAGGGTAGCTATTATGAAGTCAATGCAGTATGTTTCAAACAGGGACACAGTAAGTTCTCACACTCTTGTTGAACTGTTTTACGGAAGATGTCTTGAATGCGGTAATCAGCATGACAAAAGAATTGAAATTTCATTTAACAATGATTTTACAAACAAGGACCTTATAGACTGTTCAGGTCACTGAATTTTATCCAACTGCTTAACGAAATAAATAAAATTTATATTAATACAACATGTACTTATTTTAAGGCTTTTTGTTTAATGACTGAAAATTTCATGCTGAATGTATATCAGTTTTTTTCCGTGAGTTTCTAATTTTCGGCCTATAATTGTGTGCAATGAATATCGCCAAATATAGATTCACTGCATATTCCTTCAATTCAATAAGGGGATTTGGCGAGCTCTGGTGGAATTTATTTTCTGCTTTAGATTGCTTAACCCAGTTTAGTCATATATATATTTTATATTGTGATCATTAAATATTAATTTATTATTCATGGTTGTTAAGAATTAAATGTTGTGTTCTTTTGAAAGTTATTGTTTTAAGTACATAAAAAAAAACTTAAGTGACACAGTAAGCATACAGGTATTTTTGTTTAGACTTATTTAACCAATTGTCCTTTATAATACATGTATTATAATTCACACCTTGCAAATATATATATAAACATATGCAGCTTCCCAAGAAAACTATACAAATGCTATGGCCTATTGTCTGATTTCTTTTGGGGGGAAGAAAAGCTCAAAGCCAGTTGATTTCATGTTTACAATAACGTGACACTAGACAATATGTGTGAAATACTGAATGCATATACATCAGTAGGAAAAATGAAAACAAAGTTTTACCTCTGAAAACAATAAATGTCTGACAAAAAGAGTGGTCTCTCTTTGACCAACTTAGTGTGTTTGCGACCAGCATGGATCCAGACCAGCCTGCACATCCACGCAGTCTGATCAGGATCCATGCTGATCACTATCAGTTTCTCTACTTGTAATAGGGTTTGTAAGTGAACAGCATGGATCCTGATTAAACTGCGCGGATGCGCAGGCTGGTCTGAATCTATGCTGGTTGCAAACGCATTATGTTGGTTTTAACATGGCACAGCTCAATTATTTTCCAAATGTTTCTGTTTTTCTGTATTTCAGGGTGACAGATGGCTTGGAAAAAATAGGAGAGGTTAGATGACAAAGTCTTTCTTTCATTTCTTGTAGCTATTCTTAAGTTATTTTTTTTTTCTCATAGAAAGTTTAGAAATATCATCAAACAAAGACTACTACCACAAAAGATCAAATATAATGTACAAAAAAATTCGCAAGAAACATCAAGGTTTCTGTGAAGCACAGAAAAGTCCAACTGTAGTCCAAATTGCTCTAAAATTCATGATTTAAAAATATGAGTAGACTGTTCCAAATTTTCAAGAGCATTCCAAAAAAACTTTACAAAGGCTATGTCTGAATTTTTCTTTTGAAAAACTAAAACAAACAAACAAAAAGCTGAAAGCCAGTTAATTTCATCAAAACTTCAGTTTTAAAGGATGTATAATTATGGAGTTTAAATCAGCCGCGTCACGACAAAACCAACATAGTGCGTTTGCGGCCAGCAGTCTGATCAGGATCAATGCTGTTCGCTTATAAACCCTTTAACAAGTAGAGAAACTGATAGCGAACAGCATGGATCCTGATCAGACTGCGTGGATTGGCAATTGTCTGGATCCATGCTGGTCGCAAACCCATTATGTTGGTTTTGTTGTGACACGGCTCAAATTGTTTCAGGTGGATCAAGGATAGTTGTGTTCACATTGAACTTCTGGTGTATGAACCCTGCTGTGGTGAGTATAATTATATGCTGCTGTTAGAATAAGGAACATAATGACATCAAAAATATACATACTGTCAATGAGATTTGTAACGGTTAGACCTGTTAACGTTAATCTAAAGACAGCATGAAAATAATGAGCAACATTTTCATGTTTTAAAAGTATAGAGGTATATCTAATGAAATATTTTTTTTTTTTTTGAAATTTATAAATGATAAAATTATGTTGTTTTCATGATCTTATGGTAAATTATTGAAAGGGTTGTAACTTAGAATGTCTCTGTAATTTATCACACGTAATATCATGCTGTTATTTTATGAATGTTTATAACAGTTGAGCAAGCACCATTCACTCTTTAGGAAATTAAAAACATAATTGTTTCATACTGGTATTTTGGAATTATTCTTTTATCCATGTTCAAACAATACTTTTGTAAACTAAAAGCAGCAAATACATAGCTTAATGATCAACATTATTTTTTGTCCAATCACATTGTAGTATTTTTCAAATTTCTGCTAAGTCTAACTTTGGTTAATTTGTACTAACTAAATAAAATTTACTTAATCTGTCGTCTAACCAGTCTAACAAATTTCAATAATGCATTATATTAGGGAGGAGTTAGAGGTGTGATTTGCACTCTGAATTGTAAAATATCTAGGTTAGCAAAACAATGCCAACGTAAAAAACAATTAAGCGATGTCAGGTGTTTCTAAATGTGAGGATACAATCAATTAATTTATTACATAGATAATACATGTGGGGCATATTGAGACAAATGATTACTTAGTAACTTTTTTATATCCTTTTAACTCTAAGAAAAATGTCTGTTATAAATTGCTGACTGTTTTAAACCTCTCTTTTTTCTAGAAAAAGTAACCAAAACATAATTTTCTTTCAGTTGATAGGAATGAACTGCATTAACCATCCTTGATATTAAGAATACAATGATTACATTTTTTGGCTGGAAAACTCATTGTAAATGGACCCCCTCCACCTGTAAACCTAGATTGACACACAGAAAAACTGTTTTTCAAATGAACAAATCAATAGGGATTTTAAATGTTAGTGAATAACTTAAAGCTAATAACGAATTTGTATAAATTATTAATCTTATGTATTTTCTCACATTTTCCATTTACATTGTATTTATAAAGGCTGTACACATCTCATTAACTCCATTGTTTTTATCTAACTGCATCATTTTTTTCCATAGAGACATGATAGTTTTACTGTAGATAAAGGTATAAATTCTGTGACATTTCAGTAAAAAATGTGGCTGATTATTTGTTGATAGGGCCATTTATTTAGATTATCTAAATGTGATATGTTAGAAACTTGACAAGGTGTAGACATCTTGTAGAGCGAAAGGGCGGAACTATCGGTGATTTAGTGAAATGCCTTGTTTTTGGTTGAAAAAATAATGTTGATCATTAAATAGGTTAATGTTTAATAATATGCATTAACAAAAATAATTGGTCGCCTGCCTGCGGCAGGCTTGACCAATTATTTTTGTTAATACATATTATTAAACACTAACCTATAATTAATACACTAACTAATACTTGTATGAGTTTTATAATTAGAAGAGATATAGCAATTTATCCTTTGTTGTTGCCTAATTTTTAGCTCACCTGTCACAAAGTGACAGGGTGAGCTTTTGTGAGCGCTTTTCGTCCGGCGTCCGTCCGTCCGGCGTCTGTCCGTCCGGCATCCGTCCGTCGTCCATCCGTAAACTTTTACTTTAAATGACATCTCCTCATAAACCACTAAGCCAATTTCATCCAAACTTCACAGGAATGTTCCTTTGGTGGTCACCTTTAAAAATTGTTCAAAGAATTTAATTCCATGCAGAACTCTGGTTGCCATGGCAACCGAAAGAAAAAACTTTAAATATCTTCTTTTAAAAAACCATAACAGCTAGAGCTTAGATATTTGGCATGAAACATCTTCTAGTGAGTGTCTACCAAGTTTGTTCAAATAAAAGCCCTAGGGTCAAAATTGGCCCCGCCCGGGGGGGTCATTGATTTTCCCTATATGCATATAGTAAAAACTTAAAAAATCTTCTTTTAAAGAACTCAAAGAGCTATGGCTAAGATATTGAGCATCAAACATGTTCTAATAGGTGTCTACCAAGTTTGTTCAAATAAAAGCCCTGGGGTCAAAATTGGCCCCGCCCCAGGGGGTCGTTGATTTTCCCTATATGCATATAGTAAAAACTTAAAAAATCTTCTTTTAAAGAACCAAAAGAGTTAGAGCTAAGATATTTAGCATGAAACATGTTCTAATAAGTGTCTACCAAGTTTGTTCAAATAAAAGCCCTGGGGTCAAAATTGGCCCCGCCCTGGGGGGTCATTGATTTTCCCTAATCGCATAATTAGTAAAAACTTAAAAAATCTTCTTTTAAAGAACTCAAAAAGCTATGGCTAAGATATTTAGAATCAAACGTGTTCTAATAGGTGTCTACCAAGTTTGTTCAAATAAAAGCCCTGGGGTCAAAATTGGCACCGCCCTGGGGGTCATTGATTTTCCTTATATGTGTATAGCAAAAACTTAAAAAATCTTCTTTGAAAAAACCCAAATAGCTAGAGTTAAGATATTAAGCATGAAACATCTTTTAGTGAGTGTCTACAAAGTTTGTTCAAATAAAAGACATGGGGTCAAAATTGGCCCCGCCCCGGGGGTCATTGATTTTCTTTATATGTGTATAGCAAAAACTTAAAATCTTCTTTGAAAAAAGCCAAATAGCTATAGTTTAGATATTAAGCATGAAACATCTTCTAGTAAGTGTCTACAAAGTTTGTTCAAATAAAAGCCCTGGCCCGGCCCCAGGGGTGTGTCATTGTTTTTAACTATATGTGTATAGTAAAAACTTTAAAAAAATCTTTCTTTTAAAAAGCCCAATGAGCTAGAGCTTAGATGTTTAGCATGAAACATCTTCTTATGGGTGTCTACCAAGTTTGTGCAAATAAAAGCCCTTGGGTTAAATTGGCCTGCAACGTTGGGGGGGGGGGGTTGGGGGGGCCTATATACAGGTGAGCGACCTCAGGGCCATCATGGCCCTCTTGTTAGTTTGACTATTTGAAAAATGTAGTACTCACCCAGGTGTCGGTGTCACATTAGTTTAATTTTGCATGTAAGTTGGTATCTCCAAAACAACAAAAGGGAATGAGTTTAAACTTCACACACTCATTTAAGAGTATAATAGAGGGTCACTATTCAAGGCCCTTAACTCTAACAATGATTTTAACATAATTATCACCCTTTTTGAACTTTGAAAATTATCCAGGCTCTCTTTTTACTATCAAGAACTGAGAATATTCAAACACACTGTCCTACTGGACAGCTTTTGTTCAATTATAAGAATACAAATAAATTTCTGAAATAAATGGAAAGACTGTAAGATTATTTATTTTGTACCTCACAGGCATTTTCAGACTTCAGTAGCTGTAGAAATGTTGTGTTAAGCAGTGGTACCCTATCACCAATGTCTTCTTTTGCCTCGGAACTCGGTACCCCGTTCCCTATACAGCTAGAAGCTAACCATATTATAGAGGATAAACAGGTTTGTTATGGCTCAATTTGTATGATACTTTGTCATCTGATTTTAGGTTGAATACCTTAAAAATTCAATAATATGCTGTGACTTATTTCACATTTTGGTATGATATTAGTAGCTTTTTTCCTAAGACAGCTCATTTTCGAGGTTGGCATGGTTTAGAAGAAAATGCTGGCTTGGCATTGGAACAGGCCTATTATTGAGATATGCTTATTATCAAATTTTCTAGGCATACAGGATTTTTTGTCGCTTGTTTTATAGCTGTTATTGGGTCATATTCACAATTGAAAATAGTACATTATTTTCCCAATCCACAGGAAAAAATTCCCAATAGAAAGTTACAAAATAAAAATATTGAATAGAATTTCTAAAATCTTTGCAAATAAAGGCTTCTTCCCTGTAATAGTGCTTTAAAGTTTGAAGATGCCATCATAGACAGTAATTGTTTGCATCCATTTAATCACTGCAAAATTTCAGTCATGCATTTTTCCCAATTTTTAACAAAACACCGCTGAATATCCTGGAAAAAATGCCTGGTATACCTAGGCCTTTTTTAAGGCATGTTTTATTGTCATCTTTTCATACCAATCAAAAGTGTCTTGCATTATGCATAAAACTTGCTAGAGGTGATGGGGACATTTACTCAGTACATGACTTTGTAAAGGTAAGTTATGTCTGTAAAACATAGGTTATAGTTGGAGGATGTTTAAAAATAATTCGACCCAGCCGGGTTAAGTTCTCTGTAAGCCTTTCTCAGCATAATATTGCTACTCCTGACAGATTTAAGTAAAAGAGACATGTTTACTTCACAGTTTTTGGAAACAGGTACTGTCTGTCTGACTAAAATGTTTTTTTCCATGTGAAATTTGGTTTATTGGCTAGGGGGAAAACCCCAGCCAAATAGAAAGTTTTAGTCATTTGGAAATTTTGAGTAGTAAACATTTGCATTTTTAGCTCACCTGTCACAAAGTGACAGGGTGAGCTTTTGTGATCGCTTTTCGTCCGGCGTCCGTCCGTCCGTCCGTCGTCCGTCCGTAAACTTTTGCTTTAAATGACATCTCCTCATAAACCACTGAGCCAATTTCATCCAAACTTCACAGGAATGTTCCTTTGGTGGTCACCTTTAAAATTTGTTCAAAGAATTTAATTCCATGCAGAACTCTAGTTGCCATGGCAACCAAAAGAAAAATCTTTAAATTTCTTCTTTTAAACAACCCTAAGAGATAGAGCTTAGATATATGGCATGAAACATCTTCTAGTGAGTGTCTACAAAGTTTGTTCAAATAAAAGCCCTGGGGTCAAAATTGGCCCCGCCCCAGGGGGTCATTGATTTTCCCTATATGCATATAGTAAAAACTTAAAAAGTCTTCTTTTAAAGAACCCAAAGAGCTAGAGCTAAGATATTTGGCATGAAACATCTTCTAGTGAGTGTCTACCAAGTTTGTTCAAATAAAAGCCCTGGGGTCAAAATTGGCCCCGCCCCGGGGGGTCATTGATTTTCCCTATATGCATATAGTAAAAACTTAAAAAATCTTCTTTTAAAGAACCCAAAGAGCTAGAGCTAAGATATTTGGCATGAAACATCTTCTAGTGAGTGTCTACCAAGTTTGTTCAAATAAAAGCCCTGGGGTCAAAATTGGCCCCGCCCCGGGGGTCATTGATTTTCCCTATATGCATATAGTAAAAACTTAAAAAATCTTCTTTTAAAGAACCGTAAGAGCTAGAGCTTAGATATTAAGCATGAAACATCTTCTAGTGAATGTCTACCAAGTTTGTTCAAATAAAAGCCCTGGGGTCAAAATTGGCCCCGCCCCAGGGGGTCATTGATTTTCCCTATATGCATATAGTAAAAACTTAAAAAAATCTTCTTTTAAAGAACCCAAAGAGCTAGAGCTAAGATATTAAGCATGAAACATCTTCTAGTGAGTGTCTACCAAGTTTGTTCAAATTAAAGCCCTGTGGTCAAAATTGGCCCCACCCCGGGGGGTCATTGATTTTCCCTATATGCATATAGTAAAAACTTAAAAAATCTTCTTTTAAAGAACCAAAGGAGCTAGAGCTTAGATATTTGGCATGAAACATCTTCTAGTGAGTGTCTACAAAGTTTGTTCAAATAAAAGCCCTGGGGTCAAAATTGATCCCGCCCCAGGGGGTCATAGATTTTCCCTATATGCATATAGTAAAAACTTAAAAATCTTCTTTTAAAGAACCCAAAGAGATAGAGCTAAGATATTTAGCATGAATCATCTTCTAATGAGTGTCTACCAAGTTTGTTCAAATAAAAGCCCTGGGGTCAAAATTGGCCCCGCCCCAGGGGGTCATTGATTTTCCCTATATGCATATAGTAAAAACTTAAAAAATCTTCTTTTAAAGAACTCAAAGAGCTAGAGCTAAGATATTTAGCATGAAACATGTTCTAATGGGTGTCTACCAAGTATGTTCAAATAAAAGCCCTGGGGTCAAAACTGGCCCCGCCAGGGGGGGGGGGTCATTGAATTTCCTTATATGTGTATAGCAAAAACTTAAAAATCTTCTTTGAAAAAACCCAAATAGCTAGAGTTTAGATATTAAGCATGAAACATCTTTAAGTAAATATCTACAAAGTTTGTTCAAATAAAAGCCCGGGGGTCAAAACTGGCCCTGCCCCAGGGGTGTCATTGTTTTTAACTATATGTATATAGTAAAAACTTTAAAAATCTTCTATTAAAAAACCCAATGAGCTAGAACTTAGATGTTTAGCATGAAACATCTTCTTATGGGTGTCTACGAAGTCTGTTCAAATAAACAAATAAAAAGCCCTTGGGTAAAAATTGGCCCGGGGGTGGGGGGGGGCCTATATACAGGTGAGCGACCTCAGGGCCATCATGGCCCTCTTGTTACATATGTCTATGATGTAATGCATCATTCATGGTATTTTTAAACATTTTGTATTATTGTAGGTATTTGTAGGAGCTATAGGTGTTGGACCTTCTGGTAACCAGTTACAAGCTGTATACAGAAACATGGAAACGTTTACCTTCCAAGATGAACTGGGAAATTTAATTCATCAAGTTTGCACTGTATGTATGATAAGTTCTTTTGCAAAAAAAACAAACCAAAATTTAATAAATAGATAAAGAATTTAACCTTTCCACTTTATATATTGATCTTCACCCCAAATTTGTGAACAGTTCTGTACCATGAAATTTACACTGATTCTCAAAAGTTGACATTAAATGTAATTAGTCCCCTACCGGTTTACCGGAGGGGACTTTAGGTTTACCCTCCGTCCGTCTGTCTGTCTGTCCGAGCAAACATTTGATATTTATGAGCTTCATTCCGTAGTTAAATAAAGAACAAAAGCTCATAAAATTCAAATTAAGAGCTATTCTTTTGATTTTATGAGCTGATTTTGCTTATGGACTTTGGTCCAGGTGTAGTTTATGAGCTGACCTACCTCTTAAATATCAAAAGTTGGTACGTCCGTCCGTCAGTCCGTCCGTCCACAAAACTGGATCCCGCGATACCGCAAAAAGTACTGAAAATATTTTTATGAAACTTGATATATGGATAGATGGCAGTATGGAGATTATGCACGTCTTTTTCTTTTTTTCCTATGCTGAAAATTCTGGTTGCTATGGCAACAAATAGACTGAAAATATGGCAAATTTTACACATAACCTGGATCCAGTGATAACGCAAAAATTACTTAAAATATTTTTATGAAACTTGACATATTGGTAGATGGCAGTATGGAAATTATGCACATTCTTTTCTTATCTTCCTGTATTGAAAATTCTGGTTGCTATGGCAACAAATAGACTGAATTTCAAGATTTCTGATTCTAGTTTTTCAGTTTTTTCACTATAAGTTCTTTATTTCTTAAGGTATTTTCTTCAAACTTTAAATATAAGTTGCTAGTCATCAACCACATCATATGTGACAAAGTTTACAACTCTAGCACAAAATTTATCAGAATTACCTCCCTGGAACTTAAAATTTTCATGAAAAAAACATTGTTTTTTTTTAATAACTTCTTTTTTTCTGAACGTATCTACTTCAAACTTCATATAAATGTTTCTTATTATCACTCAACATTTGTGAGTGTTCAATACTCTAGCAAGACTATTTCCAGAATTATGCCCCTTTTGAACTTGACTTTTTTTTGAGAAATTGGTAATTTTCTTCAATTATGATAGGATTTTCTTCAAACTCCCACATCATAATTATATGACAATAATATGACAAGGTTTATAAATCTAGCATCCATATTTCCAGAATTATCTCCTCCTTAAACTTTTTATTTTTCCTATTCGTTCTTTTAACTTTCATTTACTTCAAATTCAAAATAAACATTCAATATTCATACGTTCATTACTAATTGTTCTTTATTTCACTCACATCATGTATGACATCGTTATCTCCTTTTTTAAAATTTTGCTTTAAAAATGTTTTATTTTGATAACAGGGATGTTTAAAAAATAACTTAGAGTGTCCTTCAGTCTGTCTGTCTGTCTGTACATAAAAACTGTTCACTGTGATCACTTAAAATAGAAACATAAGTGAATGGCCAATGGCCCTTCAGAATGTTGCTTGGGCTCTTACGGTAGGGGACTTATGGATTGCTTGCAATACTATGATAATTGCTTGTTTTATTTAGACCTGTGTAATATTCTTAATCTTCAAAACTGAACTATGTGTCTTTATGTATGTTGATTATTTCATAGAAAGTTCCACATGGCGTCTTGTGTTTCCTACCGTCCTACAGAGCACTGGAGAAATTTATAGATAGGTGGAGGGTAAATAGTTTCATTAATTTATTTTCAGTTTTCCTTTTTATAACAAACACAGGTGTGTGAATAATTGTTATCCCTCGCCAATGAAATTGGGAAGGGGATATTGTTTTGGCATTGTTCGTTTGTCCTTTTGTCTGTCTGTCCGAATTTTGTTTCCGCACTAGTTCTCTGCAACTACTGGCTGGAATTTAATGAAACTTTATGGGAATCATCAATATCAAGAGGAGAGGTGCATATCGTCGACTTGTTCCAGTCAGACCTTTTAACTCAGAGTTATGGCCCTTGATTAGTTATGCATTATGCATATAGAGCAAAAATCATTTCCGTGCTACTTCTGTGCAACTTCTGGCTGGAATTCAAGGAAACTTTATTGGAACCTTCAATACCAAAAGGAGATGAGCATATTGTTCCCTTGTTCCGGTCAGACCCTTCATTACAGAGTTATGGTTCTTGATTAGTTATGCAGTATGCATATAGAGCAATTATTCTTTCCATGCTACTTCTCTGCAACTTACTGTGTCGATGTGACGTAAAACCCAAACAAATAAATGAATAAATACATCTCTGCAACTTCTGGCTGGAATTCAAGGAAACTTAATGGGAACCTTCAATACCAACAGGAGATGTGCATATCTTCGCCTTGTTCCGGTCAGACACTTTAACTCAGAGTTATGGTCCTTGATAAGTTATGCAGTATGCACACAGAGCAATAATCATTTCCATGCTACTTCTCTGCAACTATTGGCTAGAATTCAACAAATCTTTATGGGATCATCAATATCAAGAGGAGATGCGCACATCGTCGGCTTGTTCCGGTCAGACATTTAACTCAGAGTCATGGCCCTTGATTAGTTATGCAGTATGCATATAGAGCAATAATCGTTTCTGCGCTACTTCTCTGCAACTACTGGCTGGAATTCAAGGAAACTTTATGGGAACCTTCAATACCAAGAGGAGATGTGCATATCGTCACCTTGTTCTGGTCAGACACTATAATCAGAGTTATGGCCCTTGATTATGCAGTATGCATATAGAGCAATAATTGTTTTTGCGCTACTTCTGCAACTACTGGCTGGAATTAAGAAACTTTATGGGAATCATCAATATCAAGAGGAGATGCGCACATTGTGGGCTTGTTCCAGTCAGACCCTTTAACTTAGAGTTATGGCCCTTGATTAGTTATGCAGTATGCATATAGAGCAAAAATCGTTTCCCCGCTTCTTCTCTGCAATTACTGCCTGGAATTCAACAAAAAATTTATGGGAACCTTCAATACCAAGTGGAGATGCGCATTTCGTCTCCTTGTTCCGGTCTGACACTTTAACTCAGAGTTTAGGCCCTTTATTAGTTATACAGTATGCATATAGAGCAATAATCGTTTCCGTGCTTCTTCTCTGCAACCGCTGGCTGGAATTAATGAAACTTTATGGGAACCTTCAATACCAAGTGGAGATGGGCATTTCGTCGCCTTGTTCAGGTCAGACACTTTAACTCAGAGTTATGGCCTTGATTAGTTTTATGCAGTATGCATATAGGGCAAACATTATGGGAACCTTCAACACTAACTCAGAGTTATGGCCCTTGATTAGTTATGCAGTATGCTCTGTTATTGCCCTGAATATTTATTATGTAAAAAGAATATTACTGTTTACCCCATGATAAATATATAAATAAAGCCTTATGTCTTCAGTTGTTGTGTTAGTAATAACCAGTTCTTGGCGGGGGATATAAATTCAACAAATTTGCTTGTTGAATATTTGTTCTGGGTGAAATTAATGATTTGTGAAATTTGATTCTATGATTCCATAAAGTTTGAATTATGTGAATTTGCTAATTGTGGATTTTGAAGTTGTGTTAAGTGTGAAATTAATGATTGTGAAAAGTTTTATTTTAGGTGTGAAATTATTTATACTTTAAATTGTTCTTGTTCCTTTCATTTCACAGAAAACTTCTTATATTCAACATCGGATACTAAATCAATAAAGAAAATGTTGATGTATCATCAATATTTTTCTGCCAATCAATTCTCGATACAAATTTGAAAAATTGGATAATTTTTACTAATTAAATGTACTGGGCAGGAACCAGTTTCCGGACAGAATTCGAGTTTTTTTAATTGTCTATTTTAAGCTCACCTGACCACGAAGTGGTCAAGGTGAGGTATAGTGATGGGGCTATGTCCGGCGTCCGTCGTTCGTCATCAACAATTGGGTTGTTAACAGTCTAGCAGTCACAGTTTTGATTGGATCATCATCAAACTTTGTCAGAATGTTTGTCTCAATGAAATACAGATCGAGTTCGAAGATGGGTTATCTTGGGTCAAAGTAGGTCACAGGAGCTAAAAATAGAAAAAGATTGTTAACACTCTAGAGGCTGCAGTTTTCATCCAAATATTCTGGAAATTTGTCAGGAAGGTTGTTTTAATTATATCTAGGTCAAAGTCAAAGATGAGTCATCTCCGGTCAAAAACTAGGTCACAGGAGCTAAAAATAGAAAAAGCTTGTAAACACTCTAGTGGCTGCAGGTTTCATCAAAATATTCTGGAAATTTGTCAGGAAAGTTGTTTTGATGATTTCTAGGTCAAGTTCGAAGATGAGTCATCTCCGGTCAAAAACTAGGTCACAGGAGCTAAAAATAGAAAAAGCTTGTTTACACTCTAGTGGCTGCAGTTTTCATCCAAACATTCTGGAAATTTGTCAGGAAAGTTGTTTTGATAATTTCTAGGTCAAGTTCGAAGATGGGTCATCTCAGGTCAAAAACTAGGTCACAGGAGCTAAAAATAGAAAAAGCTTGTTAACACTCTAGTGGCTGCAGTTTTCATCAAAATATTCTGGAAATTTGTCAGGAAAGTTGTTTTGACCATTTCTAGGTCAAGTTCGAAGATGAGTCATCTCCGGTCAAAAACTAGGTCACAGGAGCTAAAAATAGAAAAAGCTTGTTAACACTCCAGTGGCTGCAGTTTTCATCCAAACATTCTGGAAATTTGTCAGGAAAGTTGTTTTGATGATTTCTAGGCCAAGTTCGAAGATGGGTCATCTCAGGTCAAAAACTAGGTCACAGGAGCTAAAAATAGAAAAAGCTTGTTAACACTCTAGTGGCTGCAGTTTTCATCTAAATATTCTGGAAATTTGTCAAGAAGGTTGTTTTGATGATTTCTAGGTCAAGTTCAAAGATGGGTTATCTTAGGTCAAAAACCAAGTCACAGGAGCTAAAAATAGAAAAAGCTTGTTTACACTCTAGTAGCTGCAGTTTTGATTAAAATATTCTTGAAATTTGTCAGGAAGGTTGTTTTGATGATTTCTGGGTCAAGTGCTAAGATTGGTCATGTCCGGTCAAAAACTAGGTCACAGGAGCTAAAAATTGAAAAATCTTTTTAACACTCTAGTGGCTGCAGTTTGATCCAAATTTCCTGGAAATTGGCCAGGAAGGTTGTTTTGATGATTTCTAGGTCAAGTATGAATATGGATGTGTCCGGTCAAAAATTAGATCACATTGCCCAAATATGGAAAAATCTTTATAACACACTAGAGGTCACATGTTTGACTCAATTGTCATCAAACTTGGCCATGATGCTTGTTTAAGACATTGCTTGGATGCGGTTGTGTCAGGTGAGCGATCCAGGGCCATCATGGCCCTCTTGTTTAATAATAAACATGCATTAATAAAACTAACATACCAAAAACCTGAGCTCTAACTACGTCCGATAACACAATTAATACTGCCTGGTGACGTAGGCAATGTACAAACTGAAGGGTTAAATTAGGTCATCAAAAGTGTTAATTGTTCACTCGTGCAGAACCATTTTCCGGACATATATTAAGCTGCTATTCATATCTATTTTTAACTGATATGTATTCTAATATAACAAAAAAATTCTTCTGACATATTAGCTTTCTTATATAATTAAGCTGATTTACAGAAAAATGTTTATGATAGGAAAAATAACGATCACGTGATGGGTCTCGGAATGACTGAAAAGTGAAACAAATATTTTTGTGTGTACGGCAGCAACGAAGTGCGAAAGTGGAGTAAACCTAGCTAAACACCGTTTTCCGATACGTTACAGATTAAGCTCTGGGGATTACACCCAATAAACTTCGAATGAAGTACATTGTGCATTAATTGCTACCCCAAATAATATCCCGAAAGAAACAAAATATTGCGCATGCGCAGAACAAATTACATGCCCCAAAGGGATATAAGGCTGTTTTTAAAACACAGGTAAGATATCCTCACGAAATTTTAATGATGTATCAACTTGGAAGGAAGTTTATTCTCTCAAACAATTAAACCAAGCATCTTCATGACATATAATACTGATCGTCATCGATAAAGCCAAAATAAAGCCGTTATAATACTTGTCCGGAAACTGGTATTGTCCGGAAACTGGTTCCTACCCAGTATAGAAATTCTGAAAATTAACCACACAGAAGCGAGTGGGCCATGTCTAAAACTATGCTGTTGTTTTATAATGGACGTATTTTAAAGCAGTGATGTCAAAAATGGTTGGGGGAATCATGATCTTAAAAAAAACAACAACAAGACACATCATAATTCTATGAACAGAACATATATTTTATTGAAATCATTTAAACAGGTGTGAATCAAAGACAACTAATTATGAGTAATTATTGATATATCGGTTTATCATCGATATTTGTTATCCGATAACGATACTTTGTTGATAATGCTTTGCACTGAATCAATGACAGCTTAAGTAGCATTCTTGTAAAAGATGTGGTGTAACTGATCGTATAAGAGCTGGTCTGCATTTCACGGAAAGTCCTAAGTGTACCCTAAGTCCTAGGACTTATGACAAACTATAGGACTTACTTAAGACTGTTCCAAAAAATATTTTTTTTTTACTTTTATTTAAGTCATTCTCCGGAGAAAAGATAAAAAATACAATGCCATGCTTTTCAATTTTCTATGTGTAAATGTTAATCAGCAATTGAGCATAGCTATTTAGAAATAATTGAAAAGTCTTAACATAGGAGTCATAAGTAAGGACATTTTCTTTGAAACGAAAATTGTCTCAGTTTTGGTCTTAAGACATATTTTAGACTAAGTACTTTCCATGAAACGCAACCGTCTAAATTTACAGCTTACAGGATTATGGAATAAGTTGTCAACTCGTAAACGTGTAATGGTAGAACCTAGAGCAGCTGATAGGGAAGATTTTGATGGCATGATGAAAGCATTCTATGAGGTTGTCAAGGGAGATCTATATAATCCTTATCTGGATGAAGGTAATTTGACCCTGACTCTACTATATTTGTGTAATGGACTTGTCCTGTTGGAAACTTAGAACAGTCCATTGTTATCTTAAGGAGTTTCAGTATGAAAAATGCTTTGATACAGAAAACTGTAATATATTATTCAAGGAGCACTAATTTTTTGTGTCTTCCGTGAATAGGGTAGTCGACAAATTTAAGATCCAACAAAATAAATTTCGTCTGCTGTAAGATTATTTTGCATGGCATTATTTACATTTTACCTTTTGGAAAATTATATACAAAAAAATCTTCTTAATGACATAAAACCACGAAATTTCATGCCCACAAAATCAAGTAAATTTACAGTAGACTGCATGGACAGATTGTAACTGTTTGCTAAGGTAATGTATTATTGCAGCTTGCATTTAAAGAGTTAAATCATTTTGACAATATGACCTTTCTAAAATGATTTTACTGAACGAAAACACTTTGGTAAGTTAGAGTTTTGCATGTAAGATTGATCTTAAAAACCAGTTAATGTATTTGCTTGTTTATTCACACATTAATTTACATTCATAACTGAATGTGACTGTTTTAGAACAATAAATCAAGCTTAATCATAGCCCAATCTGAAACTAGAAATTCCTGGTTGAAGTTGTGCATCAAATATCATTGAAATTAAATACAAAAAAGCATTTAACTCCCCTTTCCCTTACTATGAAAAAAGCACTGACCCCACAAGAAGAGATGAAAAGTTTTACGAAAATGACCTCCAAATTGTCTGACAAAAAAGTTTTCCATCTTGTTTAAATGTAATGACTATTTAAGTTAAATCTGTCTAACAGTTATGTGAAACAAATAGAAAGTACATGTTTGCAATGACTAAAGAATAGTTATATTTATAAGTTATTTTATCATTATTAAAATGTAGAAGTTGTAAAAAAGGACCATTTTTACATAACGAACAAAACCAAACAAAAGGCATTAAGCATATATGAAAAAGAAAATGTTAGTTAATTAAAACAAGCAATAAATAAAAAAGAGGGTTGGTTCAGAAATCCGGTCAAATTAGTTCTATATCATTGCTTTATCTTCAATAATAATTCTGAAAATATGTGCAAAAAAACCTCATTTTGATTTCACATCTTGTGTCAGAAATAAATTCATTTTAAGTTATAATACTACCTAAATTTCACTCATTTTACTTTAAAACCTTTAAAAGTATATTTTAAACTACAAATATCTCTTAATTATTTTAAATATTTTCTTTTCTTTTGAAAAATGTAAGAGAAATTTATAATCTGACAAGACAAAACAAAAGAAAACAGTATCATAAATCATCAGAGGAAAAAAGCCCGTCTCACCAACCCTGGTATAATTTAAAAAAGATAAAAAAAATAATTGCGTGTATACATTGTATATACATATATTTTACTTGTGTGCATATATACATATCATTTAACATATAATTACAACTGTTTATGTTTTGTTATGTCCACATTGATAACCATTTCTTGGTTCTACATCATTTTATATATTTTGATAATATTGTCACTCTCTGTGTTGCTGTTTGTACTTAAATAAAGTGTACTGGTTTCAGCACACCAACATACAGCTCGAGGATCCTCGAAATTCTCCAGTATAGTTGTCCTGTCTTTACAATCACCACTTACTCTATATATACATTTATTCATGTAATCACTCACAAAGAAGGACCCGTCATCTAACAGTGAAATACCCCTTGAACATCCAATGTCTACATTCCTTCCTATCATCTCTCCCTGCCAGTTAAACCATATAACTGCATTTTTGACTTCATCAGATACATAGATTGAATGGCTGTTTGTTGTGACATAATTAGGCAGACTGAAAATACTGTCACCATTGGAGTCTTTCTCAACTGTAATTTTAATATTACCTTTCAAGTCCATGATTTGGAGTTTAGCAGGATCTAAAAAGGTAACTGCAAGTTTCCCCTGATGATGGCTTATTCCACGGCAATCTCCATCTACTTTCAGTTTGTTTTTCAATGAGAGAGAGTTTGAGGAGATGGAAATGAACTGTATTGTGTTAATGTGTGGTAATGTAAGAGCAAGTGTATCTCTGGTCACTATGGTGATATCCCAGGGGTTCGATTGAAGCTGTAGTTGTTTGATTGCTCCACTTTTTATGTCTATCATTTTAATTGATTTTATATTGTAATCTGCTACAAATAATTGGTTCTGAGGAGAGACAGAAATACCAGTAATCCAGCAATCATCTTCATCTGAGGATATTTTAACATTGATGTTTCTAGGGGTAGATATTTTCATTGGTACTGGAGCCTTATTTATTGGTTCAGCTGGTTGCCTCAGCTCCTTTTTTCTCAATGTCCCCAATGATTTCTCATTCTGAAGGAGTTTTTTGATTGCATGATTTGATTCAAAATTGTATTCATCAACATCATTAGTTGTTGGTAGTTGTTTTGTTATATTTTCATTGTGTAATATCAGTTGCTGAGCTATTTTCATTTCAGTAAATAATTGGTCAGTTTTCTTGTTGGTGTTGAGATGTTTTAGAGTATCAGCTGATGCTTGGAGTGATTTGTTGATGTCATCACATGTTGTTTCTAGTGTTTCCAATTTGTTGTTGTTGTCATGTTGAATTGTTGTTGCAATATCCTTTACTTCTTTTTCTAGTTCATCTAATCGTTTGTTTATCTCTTTTCTAAAGTTGTCCATTTCTACTATAGCGTCTTTCAGAGAAATCGTTGATTTAGCAATTCTTTGTTTCAGATCTTTTTTAATCTGGCAGCATTTGTCTGTCAGTTTGTCAATATCTTTTAGAGTTTCTTTGAATTCCATGCTGTTTAAAGTCTTTCCTGATATATCAGGTATGTAGTCCACATGGCAGGATGTTCGTGTATGTTCAAGGGTCACACAAACACTACATATAAGTGTATTATGGTCATGACAGTAGAACTTGATCACTTCTTTGGTATGTTTGGTACAAGGCTTGGATAAATCACCATTTTTTTTACCTGAAGTAGATTTAATTGACTTACTGAGGTTTTGTTTATGTGGCATGTGATCTTTATCTAGAAGTTGGTGATGGCGTAGTGGTCTTGGTCGTCTGTGAGTATTAAAGCAAGTTTGACATAAATGTTCCTCACAATCGACACAGTAACCAAAGGCAGGTAGTCTGATGTCATCTTGATCACATATTTCACAGAATATGTCAAAATCTTCAGCACCACCTTGAGATAGTGAAGATGACAGTTTCTGAGATGCCTTTTTACCAGGCACAGCCATAATGTAACCTAGAATAGAAAATAGTAGATTCTAGAAGTGTTCGACAGTGGCTTTATGTTCTTAACGAATAAAGAAACCTGAAATGTCTAATTCTTGCTGTAAATTCATTTCATTTTGTGGACATGAAGATGTGTGTGTGTGTTTTTTAAATTGAACAAAATGACTTTTCTAACAGATTTTGTTTCAAATTGTCATCATTGTACTTTTACTTTGTGAAAAGCTTTTTAAGCTGAGGATACCAATTCCTTATAAATAAACCAATATACCATACCGGTAACCTGCTGAATTTCTCAAATGGACTTGTCTATCTTCCATTTTGGGAGTTGTCCATTATCAATATTGGGGGTATCAAGATTTAAAAAGGTTAGTTTTAGCCCAGTAGCTAAAGCTGATTGTTTCAGCTGTGGTAAAATTGCACCATTTTAAGGGCTTCTATGACATTTAAAGGGTAGACACATCGCTGTTGACACACCAAACCCAACAAAATAAAATATTATCCAGTTTGAGTTGTGGGTGGGGCACAGAAAATGTCTCTCAAGGTTATTCATGTTAAATCATTTTAGAATAATATATTATAAGTACAATTTAAACTTTATTTAAGTTTTAAACATAGATATTGAGTAAATTTACTCACCAGTGATTTATACTTCTCATAAGGATATTGAAAAAAATATCTTCATAAGTTCCTGATCTGACAAGTCAATTCCCGTATCTTCAATGTTTTGTATTGCCTATCCATGGTTTGTATTTTAAAACTTGTAAAGATCGATTTATGAAATATTATATATCATGTTTCACCCCCAATAGAAATTCAATACATTACTTTTAAAGCAGTAGTTAAAGGCTTCTATCTTTTCAACCTTTTTTATTTGGTATTCAGGTTTTATCAATTGATTATTTAAACAAATGAATAGAAATGCCTGCTTGTAAGAAATACAATAGATAAACCCAGTGATATAGCTGGTTTATAACATTATTTATGTAGCTCTTGGTTTGTTTATAAAACCATTTCTATAAAGTGGAAATATCACACCATGTTTGTATAGTATAAATGGGACAGTTTTAAATGACATTTAAAAAGACCGTTTATCTTAATTTTTTTTGTGTTTGGCTGTTTTGGCTGTTATCCAATAAGTTAGAAGCATAAAAGAATCAGGTAAACGATTTTAACAGCTGAAAAGGAGCAACCTATTAGCAACTTTGTCTGTTTAAACATTTATTGTTTCATTAACTACATTCCATTGGTATGCGTAGTGAGATTTATCAAGATAGACTTGATGTTTATTAAACAGATTCCCCATTCAGTTCCTGATCGTGAAACACCCCTTTTTCATATATCCTTGGGTATGGGCTACAAGATCAACAAAAATACATCCATTCTTCATGTTGAACCAAATCTTAGAAAAATTGTTGAAACTTTTACCGACCAAAATATTTTATGACCCCCCCCCCCCCCCCCCCCCAGGATGCCTTATAGTAATCGCACTGTCCGGCCTTCCGTCTGATAATCTTGTCCGCACTTCATCACCAAAACCGATGGGGATTTTCAGTGAAGTTTAATCACAGGATTGTTTGTTACCATGCCTAGTTGTACATACTCTTTTGATTTTCCGCTTGATTCTTTTTGGAACAGTTATGGTCACTTAATGGTCAATTTTCGAGTAAAGTAAGCTTGTCCGCGCTTCATCACCAAAACAGCTGGTGGGGATTTCACCGAAACTTCACAAGATTGTTTGTCACCAAGCGTAGTTGTGCATACTTAGTCTAGTAAAAATAAAATATGACCCAGAACTAATTGCAAAAGTTTTGAATCTTTGTTCATTGAATAGGTCTGGTATATGTATATGTCAGAAAAAAAGTTGCACGTATAACTCTGTGCACAACTTTTTTTACAAGCGTTCAAAGTTCACGAATTTTAACTTTATATTTTAAGACCCGAACTGTACACCATACACGCAGTTTTTTCCTATGACGTAACAATTTTACGTAGGCACGCGCGTCATTGAAAACTTGTCATATGATTTCGTGAAACTTCCTTCGAAAAATAAATATCATTTTTCATCAACAATAGCGTTTGGATGGCAAAGGTAAGTTTGTTTCGTGTATTTTACATTTACTTTTATCATTTATGCCTTTTTACTGTCACAATAAGTGCCATAGTTAAATATAACTACGATTTTATGTTAAATATTTTTGGAAATAAACAGCAAACCAATATCACCAGTAAATGTTAGTATTTGATTTTATTATATTCATAAAATGAACGATATATATATATTTATAAGAAAACGATGTTAATAAGACATATTTAACATGAAAACTTTGTATTCTCGACATTATATTGTTACTTTGAAATGAACAAATTTCACGATTTTTTAATCTACGGAAGACAAAACGGGACATAATATACGTCGTGAATATGCATTATTTTATTATAACATGGTATTTTACTGTACTGGTCGGGGACCATCAAACGAACACTTTTTGAACAATTTTCCGTACAAATTTCATAATTTCTAACCTAGAGACCTTAAAATTTGACACAGTTCAGCTAGGTTCTTCTCCTAACTAACAAACTAGTTTGTTTATTTCTGATTGTATTGACACTTATATCTGAGGCTCCACAAGGAGGGTATCAAAATCACCTAAATTGTCTACACTACAGTATTATGTGTCTGGACAGATATGTACATCACGTGATTTAATTAAGATAAAAGCTTGAGGTGTTTTGATTTTAGATTTTTATCATGATATACAATATTTCAGCAACAAATGCTGAAGTTTTGGATATTCTATTGTTTACTCTGCAAATGATTATAGCTGGTATATGAGGTCAGGCAATGCTTTCTTGACCCCCAAATTTCAACGTCAACATTCTAGAAATAGACAATAAAAATATTACCATTTACGTAGGTTGAAATAAATTTATTTACTTAATTTTAGAAGAAACATGCATTTATTGTTGATGAAAAAGTGACTGACAACCACTGAACAAAGAAAATACTAAATAAAGCATTTTCGGGGCCGTCAGGGTTTGGTGGTTGTCTGGTTTTGGTGGTCCCAAACCAGTATATAAAACAATGTTCAGATTTACATGTAAATTTATATTTAGATATATATTTTGCATTATTAAACATGTAAATGTACATAAATAAAATCAATACTTAATTTCAGATACGACATCCATGATTTACACACCAAAGGTCATTTGATGATTATTTTATGTTCAGCTGTCTCTTGTATCAAGGTGAGTCATACTTTAAGTATTATCTATGCACAATTTCTATCTATAATATATGAACAATGTTTGTTTTAACTTGTCCTTTTTTTAAATATGCTATCATGTGAAATGGACCACACCAGTATATCTTCATAGGAAATTTGCAAAATCGCTCCCGAGCTTTCATACTACAGTAAAAACCCGCTAATGAGACCAATGAAGGGACTTTACAAATCTGGTCTTAATAGCGGGGTGGTCTCATTAATGAGTTTGGTCAAACAGAAAACCAGGCAATATATTAAGGGATACCATGTACTGAACACATGTTTAATTCTGGGCTAATCTTTTTCAAATGAGAAGATATTAAACATACACTATTATTTTTTTATTTTCATTTATTATGCCCCCATTTCGAAGAAAAGGGGGTATATTGCTTTGCACTTGTCGGTCCGTCGGTCCGTCGGTCCGTAGACCAAATGGTTTCCGAGTGATAACTAAAGAACCCTTAGGCCTAGGAACTTCAAACTTGGTATGGTGTTTGGTCATGACCAGTAGATGACCCCTATTGATTTTGGGGTCAAGGGGTCAAAGGTCAAGGTCACATTGACCTTGTAAGCAAAAACGGTTTCCGATCAATAACTAAAGAACCTTAAGGCCTAGGAACTTCAAACTTGGTATGGTGATTGGTCATGACCAGTAGATGACCCTATTGATTTTGGGATCAAGGGTCAAAGGTCAAGGTCACATTGACCTTGTAAGCAAAAACGGTTTCCGATCAATAACTAAAGAACCTTAAGGCCTAGGAACTTCAAACTTGATATGGTGATTGGTCATGATCAGTAGATGATCCCTATTGATTTTTGGGTCAAGGGGTCAAAGGTCAAGTCACATTGACCTTGTAAGCAAAAAACGGTTTCCGATCAATAACTAAAGAACTTTAAGGCCTAGGAACTTCAAACTTGGTATGGTGATTGGTCATGATCAGTAGATGACCCCTATTGATTTGGGGTCAAGGGGTCAAAGGTCAAGGTCACATTGACCTTGTAAGCAATAACGGTTTCCGATCAATAACTAAAGAACTTTAAGGCCTAGGAACTTCAAACTTGGTATGGTGATTGGTCATGATCAGTAGATGACCCCTATTGATTTTAGGGTCAAGGGGTCAAAGGTCAAGGTCACATTGACCTCTTTGGTAAAAACGGTTTATGATCAATAACAAAAGAACCCTTAGGCCTAGGAACTTCAAACTTGGTATGGTGATTGGTCATGACCAGCAGATGACCCCTATTGATTTTGGGGTTAAGGGGTCAAAGGTCAAGGTCACATTTACCTTGTAGGTAAAAACAGTTTCCGATCAATAACTAAAGAACCTTAAGGCCTAGGAACTTCAAACTTGGTATGGTGATTGGTCATGACCAGCAGATGACCCCTATTGATTTTGGGGTTAAGGGGTCAAAGGTCAAGGTCATATTGACTTTGTAGGTAAAAACAGTTTCCGATCAATAACGAAAGAACCCTTAGGCCTAGGGACTTCAAACTTGATATGGTGATTGGTCATGATCAGTAGATGACCCCTATTGATTTTGGGGTCAAGGGGTCAAAGGTCAAGGTCACATTGACCTCTTAGGTAAAAACGGTTTCCGATCAATAACTAAAGAACCCTTAGGCCTAGGAACTTCAAACTTGGTATGATGATTGGTCATGACCAGTAGATAACCCCTATTGATATTGGGGTTAAGGGGTCAAAGGGCAAGGTCACATTGACCTTGTAGGTAAAAATGCTTTCAAATCAATAACTTAAGAACCCTTTGGCCTAGGAACTTCAAACGTGGTATGGTGATTGGTCATGACCAGCAGATGACCTATTGATTTCGGGTCAAGGGGTCAAAGGTCAAGGTCACATTGACCTTGTATGTTAAAACGGTTTCCGATCAATTAACTAAAAATGCTTAGGCCTAGGAACTTCAAACTTTGTATGATGATTGGTCGTGACCAGCAGATGACCCCTATTGAGTTTTGGGTCAAGGGGTCAAAGGTTAAGGTCATGACCAGTAGATACTTGATAACCCTTATTAATTGTTTGATCACTGGGTCAGAAGTCATGCATAATAACCTTATCACATGACTAGTTGGCTCCTGATAGGGGGCATACATGTTTTACAAACATATCTTGTTTTCTTTTACTTTTTAACATATAAATTTTTAAACTTCTTTAGAGGTACAAAATGTATTAAGAATGTCTTTAAACACAAACATATTTTTACATTCTTGTTAAAAAAATGACATGACTTACTCAATTAAATCACCATTTTACTGCAAAGCACATCGACCAATTAACCTTTAATTATTTTCACAGTTTTCATCGCCGATAAAAACTTCAAAAACCTAATCGTATCATGTTTATGTTTGTTTAAAATTATGGAACGAAAGAGATAATGATAGCAGCAACACCTCTAAAAAACTTATTGAAAGTTTTCTGTTCAATATTTTGTTGTTTTAATCCTCCAGTTATGACATTAAAGGTGTGAAAAATTAAGAAATTATCGACAATATTATTGATCATTTCCGGGTTTGATACAAAGTAACCTTGACCTCTGCCGTAAATTGGATGTCGTTAAATGTCGTAAAACTAGGACAACTGTTGTTTACACTACGTGTCAAAAAGATTTCAGCAATATACATGCATGTCAATATCAAGGTGAGAAAGTGCCCGCGGTCGTATTTATGGGTTTCCAAATGTACAGAATTTACGAAATGGGACTAAATTTACTGGTCCTATTACGGAATAACGGGGTGGTCTCAAAATCGGGGTTAGCGACCATTAAAATAAAGAATAAAAAAATCGGGTCTTTGAAAAATCGTTCGTATTAGCGGGTTGGTCTCGAAAACGGGGTGGTCGTAAAGCGGGTTTTTACTGTACATGATTGCCCGGAACATACAATACATTCCATATATGTTCACCTTCCTCGGTCTGTTGTGATTGTATAACTTACTGATTTAATATTTTTAAAATGCAAAGTATAACATAGTACGATATTTTTTGTTATTGCCTACATTTAACACCTATGGAAAGTAATGCCGAACATTGGCCAAATGACGTCACGCTTTATTCATCAAAGTGGAAAAATGAAATGAACGATTATGTCATTTGAGTATCGGTTCATGCAAAATATACTTGTTTCCTTTAAATACAAAGTTAATATGCTAAGATAAATATATGCTAAATTCATACATAATTTCTCACAAAATATGTCTTTTATTTCTATAGATGATACAAGCCACATTACCAAACCATGCTGATGGAACAAACAACGATATGAAGGGCGTTGCATTTCGGTATGTTTATACTGACTACTGTATATTAAATTAATAAAAACTCATGACAATTTCTCTGTAAATGTACACATGCTTGCCATTAAGTTTTCGGACAAAGGTTTAATGTATGTTAAATGCAGGGAAATAACATAGGCTATTTAAGGTAGGCTGAAATAAATGCACATTTTATACTGAATATTTCTATACTGATTTTTTTTTCAGAAACCCGTTGTGCATTTCTGATTTCGGGATCTACAAGTAAATATCAACATGGCAACAGGTATATTTTGTTTTTACCAATGTCAGATGGTTTATACATTCATCATGTTCCCATGTGTCGATACTGGTCTGAATAGTAAGAAAATCAATACACAAACATATATAAAATAACATATTTCATAAGTTATATACATGTATATTCATATTTTACACTACATAATACTATGGTTACTGTGAAATAATGCATATACAAAATAATTTTATATACAGATCTGTAGATTTAAAATATGCTTTCAGATTCTACAACGTGCGTATTTTGTGCGCAGGATATCCAGAATGGGTCCCAATTGTCACTCTCAGAGAGAAGGGAAGCCACAGTGTTAACCATGCTAGCGATCTGAGGAATTCAAGTATACAAGTATACGAACAATTACAGGCCAAATTGTGCACCAAGACTGTAGAAGGGATTTTATTCACAATAGAAACATTTCAAATAGTTCCAATGTTAAGTGTAACCAAGTTAAAAGACCTTTAAGATCAAATGCTAACTTTGCTTTTAAGTGTAATTGCTCGTTCTGTGGTAAGCCTGCTAAAGTTGCATCTTGGAAACGTAGATGTTCATCCTGGTAGAAGTTTTGATTTTCAGGAAACACATCGTCGGAACCCACGGTACACATTTCGTATCTACTACATTTAATATTATTACCGATACATGTATACGGTAAAAAACATGGGTTTCCGAGGATGCAGGAAACAATACAACTTAAATGTTCTGAGAGAAACAATCTGTGGGGAAATGTTGTTTTAAACAGACTGTTGTCAGTTTTGGATTTTCGTCAGATTCGAAGAATGTATATTACAGATCAGACAATGAAAACCCAAATAGTTTGGCATATATATTCAAAAGACACCAAAATGTGATTGGAATAGAGATTTGTTATCTCCTACCATTCCTGCACGCTTTCTCTAGATTGTGACAGTTCTTAAAAATAATGTGTAAAAATGAAGTGTTCCGGCAAAATGCTGCAATATTTCATTCTTCAACAAAGAAGAAATTATACAGGTGGTGAAAAATCCATGAGGATATTATATGATGGAGCTAGGGAGATAAATTTGAACAGACTGAGATTTCACAAATTTGTAAGTAAAACCATGTCAAGTTCATCTGTTATTCAAGTTCAAAGCATTCCGCCTACGTCTGATGCTGCGGCGCAACACTCTATACCGTCATATTTTCAAACACAAACATGGATTGGAAATGATAAATTAGATCCAACTGAATGGGGATAGGAACTTCTCGAAGGACTCTTGTACCCACAAAATCTACACAACCCGCTGCTCCAGATTTTCTTTTAAATATCAGATGCAATTGCAAAAAAGCCAATCTTAGACATGTACCTGTCGCAAACATGACCTCGAATGTTCGGTTGGTTGTGGAGAATGTCATTGTATTAGCTGTTCAAACTGTCGGTCCATTTCAGATATTGATTTTGCAGACATGGAGGACTAGATCTTGTATCGACACAATGCTCTTAGAATTTAGTTGTCAATTTTTACCTGTTTTGTATTGAAATGTATTCATATTTTGTGTTATTATTGGCAATGTACATGCATCTGGCATCTTGTTTTTACATAAGCAATAGAGGTTTCACTTTAAGTTAATCATATAAAACTTTGCAGACAAATATGTTCTATATATTGAACAGTCTCATATTCCTCGTGAAGTAAATACAATGTAGCTTGTAATAAAAACAAAAGAATTATAATAATACTCTGTTTGCTTGCCATATGAAGTATTTTTTAGTATTGTAGTTATACTCTTTTATCCAGTGTCAAATTATACTAAAATTTATGCACAATATTTTACATTGGTGTCTATCACAGAACAATAAACTTGTACTAGCACCAAACTATGCGCTATAACATAAATGTAGTAAAATGGTTGAAACAATCTAACTCCAAATGTACAATAGTATTGTGCATTTAGAGTTAGATTGTATATTGAATACATACTTATCAATGCTTTCTTATATTTGCTTGTGTTGCGACAGACTGTTTTTTTCTCTAATTGTCAATGTCAAAGTTCACCTATTGTAAATAAAAATGTATTACTATACTGTCTAACATACAGAACGATAATTTCAAATTTATAGAAGTGGTCTTATATGTTGTAGACTGTTATGTGTTAGTACAAGCATGACAATAACCCTACCATATACTTTAAGTGATTTAAGTGTACATATCGATGTGACAAAAATGTAGTTCTTGTGAATGAAACAGCCTGTATATTCGTGTTCTTTATATTTATTATCACTACATTGTTGCTTGCCAAATTAGGTAGCTCTTCGGTACATTTGTACATTTGTAATATAGTTTTATTCCGTGTGTAATGTCAAATTTCAACAAGTGACACTTAAATGTATATACTACAATTTCTCCATACACCGGGCATAGTATTTTCATCTGTAGTTTTGGTAATTGTTACTCGCTCTTAATTATACTTACTTGTTGTTCTTTTTTTTTGCTTGAAACAAACAAATTATTCAAAATGCGTTGGATGTTCCGAATGTTAGCTAAACAAAAGTGTACCTGAATTATTCAACATTTATCTAAAACAAAATTTACAATACACATGTATGTCCATTTTAATTCATATGAATACAGTTGACATAATTTACAAAGTACTTCTTCATGCATAAATATGTTATTATGTATTGTTTTTACTGTAAATATACATGGAATGGATGATTTGCTGCTTATATATCGGAATTTGACTGGTTAAAAATTTTAACATAAAGTGGGTGAGGTAATTTGACACCAGTTTGTCATAGAATTGCCGACCAATTTTTTTTTTTTAATTTTAAATCCATAAATTTTTGTATCAGCATGGACAAAAATTTGTTTGTATGAAGTTTGCATGTAATAAATATGTTTAACTTATATATAGAAGTGGTTTTTTTAGTATCATCGGAAATTAACAAATTACGCCGATTTTATAACTGAAATTTAAGGGTGTCAACTTGAAAGCTGGAATTATCACATTTCCCCTTCAGCAAAAGAGTGCAACTTTTTTCCTAATATCAAGCAGATATGGTACCATCATAAAATACCAAAACAAAAACTTTTGCAATTAGTTCTAGGTTAGCTTGATTTTCGGGCTAATTTGACTAGACTAACTCCCTTGATTTATTGCTTGAATCTTTTTGCACAGTTATGGCCCCTTAATTATCAATTTTCGAGTAAAATAAGCTTGTCCGCGCTTCATCATCAAAACCTCTTGGGGAATTTTAGTGAAACCTCACAGGATTGTTTGTTACCATGCCTAGTTGTAAATACTCTCTTGATTTTCAGTTTGATTCTTTTTGGAATAGTTATGGTCACTTAATGGTCAATTTTCGAGTAAAGTAAGCTTGTCCGCGCTTCATCACCTAAACTTCTGGTGGGGATTGCAATGAAACTTCACAAGATTGTTTGTCACCAAGCGTAGTTGTGCATACTCCCTTGATTTATTGCTTGAATCTTTTTGCACAGTTATGGCCCCTTAATTATCAATTTTCGAGTAAAATAAGCTTGTCCGCGCTTCATCATCAAAACCTCTTGGGGGATTTTAGTGAAACCTCACAGGATTGTTCGTTACCATGCCTAGTTGTACATACTCTCTTGATTTTCAGTTTGATTCTTTTTGGAACAGTTATGGCCACTTAATGGTCAATTTTCGAGTAAAGTAAGCTTGTCCGCGCTTCATCACCAAAACAGCTGGTGTGGATTTCAACGAAACTTCACAAGATTGTTTGTCCAGACTCTCATGAAATTCAGTTTGATTTATTATGCTCCATGAACGCTAAGCATATAGTGGCAGCTTTGTCTGTCTGTGTCCGTACGTCTGGTCATCTTGTCCGCACTTCATCTTCAAAACCACTGGGGGTCTGGGAAATCAGTAAAACTTCACAGGAATGAACACTAGCATCCCTAGTTGTGCATATCGCTGGCACATTCTGCTCAGCTGCATTAAATGGCAGCCAAAGCTATAAATAAAAAATATTGTCCGCGCTTCATCTCCAAAACGTCTGAAATTTCGAATGAGTTATCAGTATCATCCCTAGTTTTTCATATCGCTCCCCTGCACAAAATGGCCACCAGAGGTATAAATAAAAAGTATTGTCTGCGCTTCATCTCAATAAAAGCTGTTGGAGATATAAGTGAAACTACACAGGGGTGATCAGTATCATCAATAGTTGTGCATTTATTTATGATTATAACATTAAAAAATTGACTTATGCATACATAAATTTCATATCAAGACAAAAAAGCAAAACAACAAAGATCAAGATTAATTCAAGGATCATCAAGGATGAATGTCCATATTTGTTCCTTACAGACTGTATTTAAATTTGTGAGGGAAAAAATGTTTATGGGTTTGAAAATGGTTGCCTATGGGGCATTTAGTGTTCAGAGAAGAAACCATAGTGTAAACTCGGAAAGAATGTTTGTCTTTCTGTCTGTCTGTCAGCAATTTTGTGACTGCTTTGTATCTGAAGGAAAATTGAATTTTACTCAGTAGTCCATACTGCTCAAATACTATATTGGTGAATAAGACCTTTTTTCATAGCCACAAAAATAATACAATGTCTAACATACTGTCAAGTATTGTAAAACAAGAGTAGTGAAGATATTATAATATATTTTTGATACACATTATAGCTGAGTGTAATGATGATGACTCGGAGATAGATGGCGCTCTATTCTTTGCTGTATGCCGCGGTAAAGTTAGCGAGGGGATGGATTTTGCTGATGACAATGCCAGAGCTGTCATTACAGTAAGTATCATCTTCAATTATCCCCCTGCCCCACTTAAATTCAGCAGCCCATTTTTATGCCCCCACCATGTAATGGCCGGGGCATATAGTGTTACCCTGTTCCGTCATTCTGTCCATCCGTCATTCCGTCATTCTGTCATTCCGTCATCATCAGTTTCCATTCATTATCTTAGTAACAGTTGCACATATTCAACTCATTTTTGACATATGGATATGTCATGAGAAAATACAGATCAAGTTCGAATTTGGTAATGGTTCAATGATTTTTGGCAGAGTTATGCCCCTTTTACTTTGAAAATAATATGAAATTTTCAGTTTCCGTTCATTATCTCCCCAACGGTACAACACATTCAACATATGGATATGTCATGAGAAAATACAGGTCAAGTTCGAATTTGGTCATGGTTCGATGATTTTTGGCAGAGTTATGCTCCTTTTACTTTGAAAATAATATGAAATTTTCAGTTTCTGTTTATTATCTCCCCAACAGTACAACACATTCAACTCAAATTTGACATATGGATATGTTTTTGGAATGCCCAGGCCAAGTTCGAATTTGGTCATGGTTCAATGATTTTTGGCAGAGTTATGCTCCTTTTACTTTGAAAATAATATGAAATTTTCAGTTTCTGTTTATTATCTCCCCAACAGTACAACACATTCAACTCAAATTTGACATATGGATATGTTTTTGGAATGCCCAGGCAAAGTTCGAATTTGGTCATGGTTCAATGATTTTTGGCAGAGTTATGCCCCTTTCACTTTGAAAATAATATGAAATTTACAGTTTCTGTTCATTATCTACCCAACAGCGTTACATATTCAACTCAAATTTGACATATGGGTATGTCAAAGGACTGTGCAGGTCAAGTTGGAATTTGGTCATGGTTCGATGATTTTTTGGCAGAGTTATGTCCTTTTCACTTAAAATAATATAGATATATCTTAGGAATAAGCAGTTTAAGTTTGAATTTGGTCGTGGTTCAATGATTTTGGACAAACTTATCTTCTTGAATATTGGACAAATTTTGAACTTTCAGTTTCAGCACTCATACTTTTATGGAAATGTAGTAGCCATTATTTTGGCTACAAATATGAAATATGCTGTTTTCAAAAGGTTTAGACTGAAATAATTATTCAGTGTCTTGAACATTGTATGAAAATGGTTTGTGTTAACATTGAAAAGTTTTAAGGGCTTTGAACTTAAAATGAAAACAATAATTTGTGCAAACAAATTTGGAACTAAATATTATAACATCTGAAATTTTGGCTGCATGCGGGGGCATCCGTGGCATGATGACACATTTCTAGTTTCACAGTGCTATAGGAAGGGGACTCCTTCCCAAGTGTATCCATGAATCTTCATGTTTTTCCTTTGGTCAGCGATTTTTTCTCCTATATAAGTGGTATCGAATAAGGAACCCATTCACAATCACAAAAGGACCTTCACAATCGATTAATTAAGCCTTTAAAAATAATGTATTATTTCCTCTTTTCGCATAATTTGATGCTAAAATTTTGCCAGTTGTGCTTTGTTTATCTTAAAATGCGTTTAGCCGACCATGATTTCCGTTGCATTCACCCTTTAAATTGTTGTAATTGTTTACATACGAAAACTTCTAGGGACAAATCAATACCGAAACAAGCGTCTGGTTATTTCTGTAAACATCTTTTTTTTTCTGTAAACGTCATTCAAAAATGTCTTGTGTAACAGTAAAGCTTATGACATTAAGTATGTGTAAGTCAGTCACAAATTATATGTTCTTACTGCTTAATAAGATATTCACAATCTTAAGTAAAAAATCCGTTTTCCCATCCGTCCGTCCGTAAACTTTTTACTTTAAATTACATCTCCTCATAAAACCACTAAGCCAATTTCATCCAAACTTCACAGGAATGTTCCTTTGGTGGTCACCTTTAAAAAAAATTGTTCAAAGAATTTAATTCCATGCAGAAGTCTGGTTGCCATGGCAAATCAAAAACTTTAAATATCTTCTTTTAAAAAACCCTAAGAGCTAGAGCTTAGATATTTGGCATGAAACATCTTCTAGTGAGTGTCTACCAAGTTTGTTCAAATAAAAGCCCTGGGGTCAAAATTGCCCCGCCCCAGGGGGTCATTGATTTTCCCTATATGCATATAGTAAAAACTTAAAAAATCTTTCTTTTAAAAAAACCCAAAGAGCTAGAGCTAGGATTTTAGCATGAAACATCTTCTAATGAGTGTCTACCAAGTTTGTTCAAATAAAATCCCCAGGGACAAAATTGGCCCAGCCCAAGGGATCATTGATTTTCCCTATATGCATAATTATAGTTAAAACTTAAAAAATCTTCTTTTAAAGAACCCAAAGAGCTAGAGCTAGGATATTTAGCATGAAACATCTTCTAATGAGTGTCTACCAAGTTTGTTCAAATAAAATCCACGGGGACAAAATTGGCCCCGCCTCAGAGGTCATTGTTTTTCCCTATATGCATATAGTAAAAACTTAAAAAAACTTCAATACTGGCCCCGCCCCAGGGGTGTCATTTATTAACTATATGCGTATAGTAAAAACTTAAAAAATGTTTTTTTAAGAAACCAATGAGCTAGAGCTTAGATGTTTAGCATGAAACTTCTTATGGTGTCTACCAATTTTGTTCAAATTAAAGCCTTGGGTTAGAATTGGCCCTGCTGGGGGGGGGGGGGGGGGGGCGCTATATACAGGTGAGCGACTTCAGGGCCATCATGGCCCTCTTGTTTCACATTTTTTATGGTACTGGACCCATTCACAATTCAGGGGAAAAAATCACTGTTTGGGGACATCCCTTTCTTACAGAGGTACTTAATGATACCTCTTTGTAGTCTAAATTACACACCGCTTTACTGATCAAAGTGTGTTTTATGTTACTTAATCTGCGTAAAACCGGGTGTAACTCTGTCAGTAATCTTCTATAAGATATCAGTATCGGCATATCATGTGTAAATGTCTGTATAGTGGCTAGAAGTATATCAGGCCAAGAACTTTTTGATCATACCTCGTATCTGTTTATAGGTTGGTAAACTTATCCAAGCTTTTATGTTGATATATGATTATCTATTTATAGGTTGGTATACCTTATCCTAGCTTTAATATTGCTATATGTTTATTTTTTAACCAGGTTTTCAATTTTGAAAATCCTGGTTATTAGATTGGGGTATGGCGGGCGGATGGGCGGATGGGCGGGCGGGCGTCAAACGAAATTGTGTCCGCTCTGTAACTCTTCAACCCTTTGAAGAATTTTGATGAAACTTCAGACAAATGTTTACCACATCAAGATGACGTGCAGAACGCATGTTCCGCATGGCTGGCTCCAAGGTCAAGGTCACAGTGACATTAACATTGAAAATCCTGTCCGCTCTGTAACTCTTCAACCCTTTTGAAGAATTTTGATGAAACTTCAGACAAATGTTTACCACATCAAGATGACGTGCAGAACGCATGTTCCGCATGGCTGGCTCCAAGGTCAAGGTCACAGTGACATTAACATTGAAAATCCTGTTTACATGATTTTAACTTGATTTGGCAGTCAAAGGTCATATCATCTTTGGAGGTAATTTAAAAAAGATATGATATATTATTTCATGTCTACTTTGTAACTTGTTTTTTCATTATACAGAATTATCAATATAATTATAGTGAACAAATTCTTCTGTGCTGAACTCGTCCTACATTTCTCAACGGATTTTGTTTCAAACTTTCACAGAAGCTTTGTCATCAAGCACCCTGGCACAATATTGTCGGGGTTTTGTGATTGGATAGTTTTTGACCTAATTATGGCCCTTTGTTTTTTTCCTTATACATAATATTATAGTGAACACTTCTTCAGTGGCAATTCCTCCTACATTATTCATGTTTTACATTGCACATAGTTACATTGTTTGTTGCTTGTATTTGTATTTCAAATACAACATATTTATCTACAATGGTGATAATTGAAAACCTGGTTTCATGGCATTGCCATGTTTCTTGTTTATAGGTTGGTATACCTTATCCTAGCTTTAAAGATGTCCAGGTGAAACTAAAGAGAGAATACAACGACAAACATAAGATTGATAGAGGACTGCTAAGTGGAGGTGACTGGTATGAAATCCAGGCATTTAGGGCATTAAACCAGGCTCTAGGAAGGTGTATAAGACACAGGTAAGTTCATACAAACTTTATAAAATTATAATGTTTAAAAATATTTGGTAGGTATATATATATATATACATGTATATATATATTGGGATATTTTTGAAGTTTATTCAATTTTAGAAATAATAAATGATCATTTTATTTTTCTCATTGACCTATATCTTAGTTATAAAAGAAATACTTTGATTCTCCACAGAAAATTAAAATTATGGTTGTGTTATGTAAGAATGCTCTGTTTATCTTCCAGAAAAGACTGGGGAGCCTTGATCATTGTTGATGATAGATTTGTTAAAAGAACAGAAAAATATTGCAAGAGTAAGTACAGTAAACACTTCCTATTCCATATACTCTGTAATCTGGCATATTGTGAAGTTCAAACAATTTTCTTCTTTAAGGATTGTTGTCCAGTCCAGACAATTTTAAAATCCAATTCTTGCATTCTTTATTCTAAATACAAATGCTTTCCCTGTCCATCATTGACCATGTTACACTTATTATTGACTCCATTATTTAGAAGACCAGAAAGAAACAAAAAATTCATGTGATTATGTCAAGCATTTAAAGAACTTAAAGGCACATTATGCCTCAGAAATTTGTGTTTTTAAGTAACGCTGAACATGTAGTTATGTGTTGTAAAGGTAGCAAAAATGTAAACAAAGTAGTATTTTAACTTCCATACAAAAAAAAATTATTATACCAACAGCCAACAGGAATAGCAAGCAAAAGAAAGTTCATATTTATAGCAGATGAGTATGTTTTTGGAAATACAGAAATAATCAGGTTTTTAGAAATAAAATTTAGAGGCATTTCTGAGGCATAATGAGCCTTTCAAAGAAAATAATTTTAATCATTATTATATAGTTACATTGTATGTTATATGTGTATTAACAGGTTTGTCAAGATGGGTAAGATCAAAGGTACAGACATTTGATGTGTTCTCTGACTTTCTCACATCCATGTCAAACTTTACTGAGAAAATGATCAAAGAAATGCCCAAAGTGAGGTAAGTACATGTATACAACAGAATTTTAAAATAATTGAACATGATTGTATGCATTGTTTGATTTTTAGTACAAACTTATTTTGATATTTTTTTCTAAAATATGATGAATGGTTTTGTCCATGCTGAAAGATGGACAAGTCCAATTAAGATATTCCGTTTTGTAAGAGATAATGATATCACCTTAGTAAAATAACTGGTCAACTCCTATTAAATTTAGAAGGACAGAACTTGTTACTGAACTAATGTGACGAATTATATGCATGTCATTGGTGTACATACATTGTATGTCTAAATATATCTCTATGTTAAAATGATTTACTTGATTATTTTCAGTCCAGACACATCATTTATTCCCAGTACACCATGTGATGACAGAAGAGATTCTGTTTATAAGAGACATTCACTAGATAATTCATACTTAAATAGTACAATACAGGCTTCACCTTATTTCACGCAAGTATTTTGTTATCTTTTTGTAGTTTGAGTTACTATGGAAGATCTTTGTGCTCCTCCATCCAATATTTCTTACAGATTAATACATGAATAGAATCTAAGATCTTCTGTAAGCTATCTTAGATTGCTCCTTATATAATAATAATAATAATAAGATTGAGCTTTTAGTTGTATAGAGCCTGGCCAGACAGCTTGAATATACACACTGCCTCTGTATGGGGGCATCTAGGTATTTCATAGTACAGATAATTAATAAATGGCTGAAAGTTTTACTAAATTGTTCTAGCTTTTCTTGGTGTAAACTTATAATTAGCTGTGGATGGTAAATGGTAAAAGTCATATTCACTTTAAACAGATTATCTTTTATTCTATGTCTGTCAAAATAATTGTTTATAGGCTATATGTTATACCAGGGCTTAACTAACTTGGATGCCTTTTAATAGTATTTTTGATGAAAGCACAAATTGGTGGGGTCACAGAGGTCAAGGTCACTCATGCTTAAACTATATTTTTACACTTCTGCTCATGAAACTGTGACTGAATTCTTATTATTCTTATTTGTTGATAAATTTCTTTAACAGATTCCTTTAACTATAATTTTCATTGGAGTAAGATGACACTTAGGTCAAGGTCACAAGTGCAGAAAACATTTTTTGAACTTTTGCTTATACAACCTTTGAAAAGTATTTTTTGAACATAACATAAGTGTTAAGGTTTAGTTATGTTGTTATTTTTTTATTTGTTAACTTATTTTAGAATTACTCGTTTATTTCAACTACAGAAGTCCACCATTGAGTCAGTCTCCAGATTTGCAAAATCTATTTAGAACTCCTGAAACCTCAAGCAAGAGAAGATCATTAACTAGCCCAGCTGTTCCAGTATTTCCTGGAGTTACTTCCCCTACAATACAGCAACAGGTGCTTACAGGAGTAACCTCCCTTAATATACAGCAGCAGATTCTGAATGTGATTAATTCAGGGACAGGACCAAAAGATCAGCCATATTACATTATTGTAAACAAGGGACGTCGAGTGAACAAACATTTCTTATAGAACCAAACAAACATGGAGGTAAATGATCAGAAGTAAATCATTGAGTTTATTAGCTCGACTATTCGAAGAATATGAGAGCTATTGTAGTCGCCCCGGCGTCGGCGTCCGCGTCTGCGTTGGTTAAAGTTTTTTGTAAAGTCAAATATCTCAATTATTACTTGAGATATTCAATTTGAAACTTACAATACTTATTTATAGTAACAAGGTACATCAGATTGACAAGTTGTATAACTCTGCCTACAATATTGACAGAATTATGCCCCTTTTTTAACTTAGAAATTTTGGTTAAAGTTTTTTGTAAAGTCAAATAGCTCAATTATTGCTTGAGATATTCAATTGAAACTTACAATACTTATTTATAGTAACAAGGTACATCAGATTGACAAGTTGGATAACTCTGCCTACAATATTGACAGAATTATGCCCCTTTTTAACTTAGAACTTTTGGTTAAAGTTTTTTGTAAAGTCAAATATCTCAATTATTGCTTGAGATATTCAATTGAAACTTACAATACTTATTTATAGTAACAAGGTACATCAGATTGACAAGTTGAATAACTCTGCCTACAATATTGACAGAATTATGCCCCTTTTTAACTTACAACTTTTGGTTAAAGTTTTTTGTAAAGTCAAATATCTCAATTATTGCTTGAGATATTCAATTGAAACTTACAATACTTATTTATAGTAACAAGGTACATCAGATTGACAAGTTGGATAACTCTGCCTACAATATTGACAGAATTATGCCCCTTTTTAACTTACAACTTTTGGTTAAAGTTTTTTGTAAAGTCAAATATCTCAATTATTGCTTGAGATATTCAATTGAAACTTACAATACTCATTTATTGTAACAAGGTACATCAGATTGACAAGTTGGATAACTATGCCTACAATATTGACAGAATTATGCCTCTTTGGAACTTAGAAGTTTTGGTTAAAGTTTTTTTTGTAAAGTCAAATATCTCAATTAATGCTTGAGATATTCAATTGAAATTCAAAATACTTTTTTATAGTAACAATGTACATCAGTTTGCAAAATTGCATAAGTCTGCCTGCAATATTTGCAGAATTATTTGCCCCTTTGAAACTTAGAAATTTTGGTTAAAGGTTAAAGGTCTTCAAAGATATTTACTTTTAACTTTACACATGCACTAAGGGTCATAATAAGAGGGTCATACTATCAAGCACTTAGAATAGTCGAGCATGCTGTCCTACCGACAGCTCTTGTTATATCATGAACTTGATTTATTGAAAATGACAAAAATTAGTTTACATTATTCGATTCCCATTAAAAATAGCAGTAATTTATCTTTGAAAATTTAAAGGGACTCAACTTCATTTTTTGGGACATGACAGGACTAAAATTTCTTTTTTCGTAATTAATGTTCCATTTGATGTAGGTCTTGACCAATAACTTTTTTCACTTACTCTATTGTTTTTCACTTACTCTATTGTTTTTTTCTTCAATGTATTGATTCTAATTGTGAAAAATGACTCTAATCTGGCTAAGAATAGCACAAAAATGTGCTTTTCAATTGATATATTTCTAAATTATTTTTTGCATATCTTTCTGTTTTATGTGCCTCAGCTGATCTATGTAAGAAATTTAAATTTTGTGTCTTTAGAGTTTTGGACCTGAGTGGAGTTCATTTAAAGTTTAAATCAAAGTTCTTTTAAGCTTTTCTGTTTCTCTTGATACAATGAAATTTTGCAGACAAATCGTATTTAGTAGTTAATGCTTCTGAAACCTTACACAAGATATTTTTAGAATGTTCAGATTTTTACTGAACATTTTAAAAAAACATGAATCTTATTATTTGCTGTTTTATGTGATTTAGGCAATCAGCAGATGCCCGCCCAGATGCTATCAATGGTTCCTCCAATTGTACCCTTAACACAAGCTGCAGGTCAACAAGTGGTATTGAACATGCCTGGAACCGGTCAGCATCAAACTGTTTTACTGACAATGCCCCAACTTCCAGTGCAGGGAACCAACTTGCCACAGTCTGCCACTATTCCGGGAACCAGTCTAAAATCTAATTTCAGGGGAGGTAATCAGCTGGACAAAACAAATTCAACAGATGGCATAAAATCAGAAAATGTGTCTAAAGAAGAAAAGAAAGCAGATATAGTGTTCACTCTTGGGTCAAGCACACTTAGTGCAGAAGAACAACTGAAGAAATTTGTTAGTTCAAGTCAAGCTCCAAGAAATCAGGCCTATTATGTTGTTGTTAATAAAGGGGAAACAAATGAGAGGGCATTCTTTATTGAACCAAACAAAAAAGGAAAATCTAAACCTAACACAGAAAAGAAAATTGAAGCAGGTAATAACATGTTATTTGTTGTTTTTTTTATGTAATATGTACACTAAAGGTATCTTATTTTGTGTTTGTATTTTGAGTACTTTAAGACTGTAGGTGTGACTTTAGACATATTTATCTGCATGTATATACCATCAATACCTATGTTAAGTTTTGGTAATAATCCACTGTTTTCTTCAAAGATTTATCTGTTACAGACAAATTTGCATTTGGATCTGTATTCTCCACCCTCCTATGAAAATTTGTTTTTACCTTTTTTGTCTGGTATTAGATGATTGTAGCAAATGAATTTTACTCTTTTATAAAGGTTCTAATATTGCAATATAAAAAAAACGATTGTCTTTTCTGTCCACTTATGTTGGATAGTAAATTTGATTGTGGAGTTGGAATAAGAATAAATTAATGTCTAAACTAGACTTTAAATTTATGGATGTGTGCACATTGTGTTTTGTTATGTTATTGAGGGGCGTATGTGACCTATTTTTCAAAGCTGAAACAATTGCCAAAAAGTGTAAATTCAAGCACTGATTGTAAAATACCTTATACTTAAAAGTGATAAGAAATGATGATATCTTCAATATCTTATTTAATTGGACTGACATGAGGTATTTGTTGACATTTGTTGATGTACTGATGCTATTTCCAGAGAAAACTGATGACAGTCTAGTTAAAACACTAGATACAGTCAAAACAGAGGAGGACAAAAAACCAGTCAAGGTAGAACAGGAAGTGGTAGTGCCTGATTCTTCTACAGGAGATCCAGAACCTCAGAACAAGTTCCTAAAATTTTGCCAGCTTCCAAAAACCCCAGCTAAAGTCCCTGTGGCAGCTGTTACACCTCAGAGACAAACTGACCAGGTTTTTAATTAATCACATTAATGAATTCCAGAAATATTAAGATCAAACAAACTGAAATTAAAAGCTGCAGTTCAAAGATCACATTCTCATTTTATGTTTAGATCTGTTGCAATGATTTATTTACACTTATCTCTATCAAGTATAATTGACTGATTATGAAAAATACTGAGATTAACATGATTGTGGTTTTGTTTTTGTCTCCTACAATATTAACTAACCATGACTCTTTGAGTAATGCAAGATTGATGGCTCTACTCAGCTTTTGTGTTCCTCCTATTGTAGACAAAAGTTCGCTACATGTCCTAAAACCCAATAAAATTAATGAAAGTGTTAGGCCTAGAAATAGATGTATAGATTGTTGTAGTGGAGACAGGGCTCCTTTTATATATCCCCATTCCTATCTGTCAATAAACATTTATACTTGCATAAAATTTAAAAACACAGATGTACATATTGCCCCACTTTTTGTGGTGCTCTTGTTAACAGCAGAGTTACCCTTGTAGACTGTTTAATAATATTTTTATTCTGTGTGTAAGAGGATTTATCAAAAGGAAAACATGTAAAAGTTTTGTTAAGATATTGTTACTGTTTTTAGGAAATCAAAACAGAAACTGTTGACTCTGTGAAAAATAGAACCAGGTAGTCTCCAACAAACTCTGTCAAAAACTTTCACAAAATCCTCAAACTACATCAACCACTAGACAGGTGCAGCCAACATGGTACATCACCTGTACTCTTTGAAGATGGCCAGACAGATGGACTAGCTTACTGAGTGTGTAGACAAAACAAATAACCTTGCTGAATTAGATAAAGAACATAGCACAAAGAAGAAACCAATTTTCAAGAAAAGGAATTCACTTTCTACAAAAACACAAAAATCTGAGATTGAGGATTGTATGGGAACATCAACAGATGGAGATAGTAATATTGATAAAGTAAATAATGATAAAGATAATGCTGATGATTTTAAAGAAGAGAGTAATGGTGGAAGAAGGACTAAGCCTACAACAAGAGGAAAGGTAGATATGTCAGTGGTAGATAAAGTTCAACAGGGTAGAAAGAAGTCAGATGATGTTCTACAAGAAGCAAAAGATAAGAAGAATGTTGGGGAGGAATTATTAGATGGGGAATCGGCTTCAGGTGATTATTTTATTCATGTTTTTTATCATATATTAGTCTTACATCATTAAATGTCATTATCTAGTAAATGTTTAACATTTTGTTATGAAAGCTACCTAGAATCAAAACTATTGTACATATACATTGCACTTATAATAAAAAAGTCAAAAATACCAATATACAGTATTCTTAAAGGAACTCAACTGAGTTCCAAAGAATGTTTTTTCAGTTTGAACAGCTGTAAACAATATGTTGTGCAAAGTCATGTTACAGGGCAGTGATTTTTCAACTTTTTAACAGAAGTTTTCTTTTAAATCATGCATTTTTCCCAATATCTCCACAAAATCTTAAATTTTCCAAAAAAATAAATTGCTAACCTGATGTTCTTCATCAGCATTGTTCTTCTCTTATTATTACATATGTTTAACAAGTGTTTGTCTTTATAAAGGTAATGATGTGAATTCGGACGAGGAGTTTCTCAATACACGAAGACGTGGTGGAAGAAAACGTAAATCAACAAGTAAGTTTCAAGAGTGGTCAAAGCGGTCAAGAAAAGGTGTCACATATGAAGATAATGAAAACATTGATGAAAAAGAAAATAAGGTAAAATACTTCATGCACGAAGATATAATAGTAAATTCTTTACTTTTACTTAATGAATAACTTTATAAGTGGATATTTCTGCATGTCGAAAAGCTTGCAAATTAAAAACTCAAGAATTTTTGCGTGAGGAAATATTAACGTATCATGCAAAAAGTGTAGCATTTTATGACAGGTTGTTTGATATAATGTAAGTCATTTTCGTCAATTCGCAAAATTCGCAAATATTGCCATCTGCTAACTTTACCACATATACAATACATGTCAAGTAGTGTGTAGAAGAGGGAAGGATTCATTAAGATTGTCACTTGCAGTGGTTGATTTGATGCTAAGAATCTTGCCAGATGAAGTTTTTCGTGTGAAGGAGAAGTCCATATTCATCTAGCATCCTGAAGGTCTTCTTTCTCTTCGGTGCCTAAATAAACAATTAAAGCACAGTGTCTAGGGTCTGCTGCAATTTAAAATGGTGAAAAGGGCCCAAGGAAGTGAATAGTGCTTAAATAGATATTTTCCTTTTCCCACCTCTACCTGCAGAAGAAGAATACGTTTATAATTTTATATATATAAAAAAACCAAACAAACTTCTAAATTAATGTTTCTATTGCTGTTAATTGTTTGCTTCATATTTCCTATCTTTCAGGCCAAAAACCAGTGTTTGTCATGTGTAAAATGTGGTAAACAGTTGTTACCACTAGGCCAGCATGAGAAGCAGAAAAAACATCCAGAATTCCTGTCTTGTGTTTTCAAGAAGAACACAGAGTTGATATACTTTCCCAACTTGAAGACCAAGGATTGCCAATTAGAAACAGTTGAATCTGAAACAAATAACAAAGGTAATTAACATGTACTTGCTTGTCTAATTAACTATAAAAAAGTAACTTTGCATTTGAATGTTAAATTGTTCTTGGAATGAAAAGGATTTTTCCAATACCTTTATTGTTGAAGATTGAACATAGAGGAGATTGAACACAACTGTAGGGGTCTTAGTTGCCGAGTGGTTAAGGTCATTGATATCAAAGCACTTGCCACTCGCGGCAAAGGGTTCGAATACAGTTACAGACTTTAGATTCTTTGTGAGGAAGCTATCCAGCTAGCTTACGGAACTTAAGTTTCTATTTACAAAACAAACCATTTTGGTGATCACCAGTTCTGGTGAAACAACATTAAATATTCTTATTCCCCAATGCTAGTCTTTACTAACATATTGATTGTATACATTTTATAATTTGCAGGTTTATTGTTGAACAGTGTATATGACGAGACATTAGGATGTTGTATACAGTACTTGCAATGTAGACAATGTAAGAATGATACAGTGATTGGAGCTAGAGTTCTGCTGGCAGATTCTACCTCACTGTATACAGCTGGACAGGTACTTGTCTTATTTTATATCAAAAACAAAATCCTTACTGGACAAAGTCTTGTTTTTTGGCAAGATTCTTTATAATTTTATACCTTTTTAGTTTAAGTGTGATACGAATTGACATCTAATGTTTGGAAGTTATTGAGATAGCCGATGGAGTGTCGGTGGTTGTTCTACTTATGTGCCTGCTGATATCTGAAATAATGGGTGGAGGGATGTCCTGAGGACTTCCTCCATCAGTAAAGCTGGAAAGTCACCATGACCCTTAAAGTAATGGTGCAACTTAAAACCAAACAAACACCAAATTAAACAAAACAGAACAGACCTCTATCACCGGTGTAAATACATAAGTTAAAAGTGCTTTTCATAGAGTCAAAGTCCTACTGATAAGTACAGACACGGTCCCTACCTTACAGAATGTTGATAGTTCTACTTGTGTGCCCTTTTGTGCATGAAATAATGTGCAGAGGGACGACCGAGGCCTTTCACCACCAGTAGTAAAAAATAGAGTATCGTCATTAGACCTTTACAGTGTGTAATGTAAAAACCCTACCATAACAGATAAACACAGTCCATTTCTATTTCATGAAAGCATAAGGAATGAAAATAATTATTTCTAATTAATACTTATTTCTAATTAATACTTATCTTATTTCAGACTTGGATCCTGTCATCAGCTGCTAAGTTATGATGTGGATATTTCACTTCTTCCAAAATAATCTTGTCATTATGACAGACTGGTGCTACCATTTTCAGACTTAAAAGGACTGTGATAAAAGAGAAGTCTGACTTTTGATCTGCCTTTAAGCGTTTAACTTGCCCGAAGTTCTAGTCACCCTAAACATCCTTATTTTTCGTGAAAGAAATATGTTAAACCTTTAACAAACCACAAGAGGGAAAATTATTAGCCTTTCCCACAAGTATAGAGCTAGACCAGCCTCTATATCTATGCAGTCTTGACAACAGGATTCAAAAAAAAAAAAAAAAATAATAAACTATTGGTAAATCAAATTAATTTTTTTAAAAATGGTATATTGATACATTTGAAATCCCTTTAAACTTTAAAATAGACTGTTCCAAACTCACAGCAGGGCAAATCCATTACAAAAAACTTCAAAGAGGTTAACCAAGTCTTGAAAGAATTTACGGAGGGAAGTCAATATCCTCTATAACAGAATCAAAGTAAAAACCCAAGCAAAGTTTGATATAAATTTTATCACATATGGAGCATGTCATTAAGAAAATTTATGATAATTATTCATTGCATGTTATTACTATTATGATATTATAAAACTTGAAGTTACCCCCCCCCTGAATTGGTTGTGAGATGTATTTTTTGATCTGACACTGTGTTCAATGCGCAAAAACTTGCAAAGTTTTGAATTTTTTAAAAAGTTCTTTGTAAATAAATGAATTAATTACATAATTATATTTAATTACAGTATGTGAATTATTTTTGGGTTTTATAAGTTTTTACAAAGAAAATTTTTCCTGTTTTTGATTAAAAATAGAGAAAAAATTCGGGAAACAGTTAAAAAATATTTTAAAATTTAAAGAAAATCAATTCTTTTTTGGTGAAGTTAAAGAAAATACCCAAAAAATTTTAAAACCCAAAAACGTTTTTAAAAACATTTTTAAAAATTTTGGTGAAATTTGTATTTTTAAACCTTGCGGGTTTTTGTTTTATTTTTAAATAAAATTGACAAAAATTTTTTTTAAAAGTTGAAGATTGTTAGTTAACAGGTTACTTTAAAAAACGTCCCTGGTAAAAATTAAAACAAAAACATTTTCCCATGATAAATAGAAAATTTTTAAAAGTTTTTCCCCCATAAAAATACAGATTTTTTTTCAATGAAATGTTTTTAGTTAAAAACGGGGAAAAAAGTTTTTTCTTTAAAAGTTGTGAATGCTAAAATATATTCTGTGTAACATTCTCCTGTGTATTGTTGTTTTAATGAGCATTTATACTAATTTATCTTCTGGTAAAAAGTATAATATATTTTTATGTTATTTTTTTTAATGTTGTTCTTTCATCCAATGTCTTAATCACATTTTGAATTATTGATATATTTCTATCAAATCATCATTTATACTTGTGTATACATTATGCCATAAGGAATATTAAAGAACAATTACCTCAAATCTAGTGTACATTTAGTAAGAGAAGCGACCCTTGTTTGTAAGGCCAACATATATTTTTGAAGGTGCATACATGAAAAATATTTGGAATCTGAGTATTTGTGTCAGTATTTTCTGTGTAATTGTTATATTATGAGGAATGTGGCCAGTGTCCAGAACTATACTTTGTTTTGTTGTAATGTGCAATGTATATTTCTTTGTTTGAAAGAGGTGATAAAAAGGATGCTTTCAAATAAGAGTGTTTGTTCTTTTTATACGCCCGTTTCCAAAACGAATCATGTAGGAACGCCCCGGGCGATCTGCCGGGCGGCGTCCAATATTTTCCGGAGCATTTCATCTACACACAGGGAGGGATTTTATAAAACTACATGTACATAGAAATGTGTACCACTATGAGAAGCTGTGACGCGGGCATACACCAGGTCTCTAGTTTAGAAGTGAAGGAAACACTTAGAGCTCATTGAAAAACGCTTGTCCGAAGCAAAACTCGTACATGCATTGAGGAATTTCAATATAACTTGCACACATAGAGGTAGAAGTTTAAGTTAAATAGGAAGATTTGTATAAGGCCCATTTAGAATCTAGCTATCATTTATTTAGGGATTGTATCATAAATGGTCATTACTACGGCTGTGATACTTGTAATTGCGGTAATATTTGCAATGTCAAGGTAAAAAAAATTGATAAAATATACAGATTTTTTCCCGAACATATCTCCTACACGCATGGAGAAGTTCTAATAAAACTTCATAGAAATGTTCACCACTATGAGCAGCAGTGACACATGCATGAACAAGGTCTTTAGGTTAAAGATTAAGGTCCCTTTTGCTTTTATAGTTAATTGAACAATGCTTGTTCGGAGCAAATCTACATTCATCAGAGGATTTTAATTTAACTTAGCACAAATGTTCAACATTGTGAGGCTAAGTATTGCGCACAGGTCCCTGCTACCAAAGTCAAGGTCACATAGAAAGGTCAAGGTTAAGATGTAAAGAGAAGATGTGTACCATTTAGTCATCATTTATTGATGGGTTGTAACTCAAATGATAACTATCATGATTACAAGTTTGACACATGTAATTCAGGTTAATATCTGCAAGGTCAAGGGCACTAGAGATGATAAAATATCCACATATTGCCCGGAGCATATCTCCTATATGCATATCTATAATGCCCACAACTCAGTAAAAAGCTTTTGTGACGGGCGTATTTTACGACAATGTTAATACTATGGAAACAATAGGTAACATTAAATTTTCTTTGATGCTATACAGTTAGCTCTAACGTGACTTCTTTTTCTCTTACGTGACTATACGAACACGAGAGTGAACAAAAGAGTAGCCAATTAAATATCAAAATTTGAGGACGCCTGTCTGTCCTCCATCACAAAACATATCCGGACTACCTTTCAAAAACTGCTGCTGCAATTTAATCCAGACTTACTTAGTGCATGACTTTGTTATAGCAAATTATGTCTCAATTACATAAGGTTTTAGTTCGATGATGTTCAAAAATATTTGGACCCAGTCGGATTAATGTCTCTATAAACACTTCTCTATATTATATTGCTACTTTGGCGAAATTTAGTTTGAAATAAACTTTAAATGCTTACTTCAGTGTTATTCGTTTTTGAAATAGATACTGTCAGCCCATTTGGGATATTTTGTGCACATAAAATTAGGTTCATTGGCTAGACGAGGGGCAGTCGAATAGGAAGTTTAGAATCTTTGGAAAATTTTGAGCAGCATTTAAGGGTAAACATTTGCATTTTTGCCTATGGAACTGTCAGTTCTTTTGCCAAAAATAAATAAATATATAAATAAGATAAATGAATTAACCTTAACATTGACAGTTCAACTTTATATATTTAAGACAGTTTTGTTTAGTTTCATAACTTAATACAATGTATTTTGCCACTGCTTTTTGCTGAGTAGGTTTCAAAGACAAATTTGCTATGCATGTATTTTAAAATCTTCACAGGGTTGGTGAATTAATGCCCTTATTGTTGATATTGAAGTATGAAATGCTATCATGACTTTTGTGTCATTTTTGTCTTAACAACCAAATAAGATAAAGAGAACATCGTGCTTTGTTTGATGTCAATTTGAGCTGAAATTAACAATATATTTGTGATTGTTTCGACAGTTTCATTATAACTAATAATCGATTCAGACAATAAATTAGGATAAAATATATAAACTGCCTTAAATATAAAGACTGTCCTACTTCTTACACCACTTGGATGTAACCGATAAATCCTGAAGGATATTTATAGCCATTCCTTTAAATAACTGTTTACTCATGTGAAGTAAAATATAAACAATATACATATAAACTTTGAGCTAGATGAAGTTATTCTTTACATGCACACTCACCATTTTAACTTAAATGGGTTTAATGCCCTAAAACGATGACAAAGGTGCATCCATGACCGAGTGTATAAGGTCATTGACTTGCCCCTCACTGTTATGGGTTCAAATCCCGACAATGGCTTTGGATTTATTTTTATTTCAGGAAGCTATCCAGCAAGCTTACGGAACATCGGTGATTCTACTCAGATATTCCTTCGCGCCTGAATAATACACAGAGTGGCACCTTGGGGGGGGGGCTTCCTCCAACAATAAAGCTGGAAAGTTGTCATATTTGACTTATACTTTGTCAGACATAAAAAATCCAAAAGAAAACAAAAATGCAAAATGTAATGTAAAATTATGTTGATTATTTCATAGAAAGTTCCACATGGCGTCTTGTGTTTCTTGCCGTCCTACAATTTACTTGAGAAATTTAATGAAAGGCGAAGGGTAAATATTTTCATTAATTTCTTTTCAGTTTTTTCATTTTCATACCAAACACACATATGTGAATAATTTGTTGATTTTTTTTCAGCGTGAACTTAATGATTTGTGAAATTTGATTCTATGATTCCATAAATTTTGTATTATGTGAAATTACTAATAATTTTTTGAAGTTACTTATAGTCGATTTTAATGTTGTGTGAACTGTGAAATTTATTATTGTAAAAAGTTTTATTTTAGATGTCACATTATTTATTCTTAAAATTGTTATACCTGTTCCTTTAGTTACATTGAATAATTCTTATATTTTTGCATCTAAAACTAAATCAATAGAAATGACTTTGACATATCGTTGGTATTTTACTGTCAATCAATACTCGATACACATTTAAAATATGGAAAAATGGATACTTTTTATTTAATAAATGTATTTAATGTCTAGAAATTATGAAAATTTACATAAACAGAATCAGGTGATCCGTGTCTAAAACTATGCTGTTGTTTAGTATAGGACATGTCTATGTAATGATGTCAAAAAATGGTTTGGGTGTGGGGGGGGATCATGGGCTTAAAAACAAGACACATCATAACTGTATGAACAGAACAAGTATTTTACTAAATCATAGAAACAGATATCAAAATGAATCATAGACAAGTAATTTCAAGTAATTATTGATATGTCTGTGCATTGCAGATATTTGCCATTCCATAACGATATATTGTCGATATGCTTTGATAACGCTTTAAGATGTGATGTAACTGATCATACAAAATACGCTGGGCTGCGTTTCACAAAAAGTCATAAGTGTATCTTAAGTTCTAGAGTTATGACAAACTATAGGACTAAGACCGTTTCAATTAATATTTTTATCTTAAGTAAAAATTTTAGGCTTTTATTTAAGTAATTCTCCTTAGAAATGGTAAAAAATGCAATGCCATGCTTTCCGATTTTCTATTTGTAATGATTATAAGCAATTGAGCATAGATATTTAGAAATGATTGAGAATTCTTAACATAGGAGTCATAAGTAAGGATATTTTCTTTGAAAAGAAAATTGTCTCAGTTTTGGTCTTAAGACATATTTTAGACTTAGGACTTTCCATGAAACGCAACCCATGTTTACATTAACAGTTTACGGGATTATGGAATAAATTGTCAAGTCGTAAACGTGTAATGGCAGAATCTAGAGCAGCTGATAGGGAAGATTTTGATGGAATGATGAAAGCATTCTATGAGGTTGTCAAGGGAGATCTATATAACCCTTATCCAAAAGTAATTTGTTCCTGACTCTGCTTTATTTGTTATTATGGACCTGTCCTGTTGGAAACCTTTTAACAGTCCATTGTTATTTTAGGGGGGTTCAGTATGTATAAAATTTTAATTTAGAATAATTCAAAATCATTATTATCGGTGGGGCACTAATTTTCGTGTCTTGTAGATACGTCCACGAATTTAAGATCCAACAAAATTAATTTCATTTTATCTGCTGTAAGATTATTTTACATCGCATTGTATACATTTTACCTTTTGAAAAAATAGACAATCAACGAATTTAAGAACCCACAAATGTTCTTTGTAACAAAACCAAGAATATTTTAATTCCTACTAAATCATATTTTAATTCCTACTAAATAAAGTCAATTTAAAATAGTGCGTGGACAGCTTTGAACTCGTTTTTATAATGATTTTGACTGAACGATAATCCTTTGTGAAGTTAGAAAAAACCTGGTAAGATTCTTACATTCAATTACTTTAAACTTCACACATAACTTAATGATCATATCATATGGTGACTGTTCTAAAATAATAACTGTAGCTGAATTATAGCCCTTTGTAAAACTAGAAAATTCCAGGTTCAAGTTAAGCATGCAAGATCAATAACGAATATATTTACTTGACTCCACTTCCCCTTATTGTGATAAAAAGCCCAGAACCAACTTAAAGAGATGAGAAGTCTCATGAAAATGACCTTCACATTGTTTTTATATGAGTTATAATTCAAACAATGATAAAACCGATAATGATATTGAAGTGTTAGATGCATATTTGACAGTGCCCTCTAAAACTTTAGATAAGTTTTAAAACTTTATTATATTCTAGACAAAAATACAAAAATAGTTTACCATCTTGTTGTAAAAATAATGACAATTAAAGTTAAAATTTTGTAACAGTTATATGGAACAACAAAAACAAACATGTCTTCATCGACTAAAGAATAAATATACTTATGAGTTATTTCATCTTTTTTTAAGTTGTAAAAAAACCATTGTTTTTTTTTTAAATAATGAACAAAAGTAAACAAAGAAAGGCACATTTTAAAAAGAAAATGTTGGTTAATTAAAACAAGTATGAAATAGAAAGTGAAATACATTTTGTATTAATTTTGTTAATATTATTGCTTTATCTTCAATAATCACATTGAACATATGTGCAAAAAACAAGAACAACAAAAAACATAGAGATCATGAATATATACATTTTTAAGCTGTAAAACAACCTTAATTTCACTATTATTTTAAACTGCAAATATATTTTTTCTTTTGAAAAATGAAAAAGAAACCCATAATCTGACCCCAAGAAAGTATCACAAATTGAAAAATAACGCCCTCTCCCACCAAGGTTTTATTTTGTAAAAACATTACTTTTGTGCATCTATACATATATGAAACGTGTCACGACAAAACCAACATAATGGGTTTGCGACCAGCATGGATCCAGACCAGCCTGTGCACCCGCGCAGTCTGATCAGGGTCCATGCTGTTTACTTACCAATTCTATTACAAGTAGAGAAACTGATAGCGAACAGCATGGATCCTGATCAGACTGCGCAGATGCGCAGGCTGGTCTGGATCCATGCTGGTCGCAAACCCATTATGTTGGGTTTGTCGTGACTGACGCGGCTCATATAGAGATCAACACTTTTTTACATTTTTCTCTGAAAAATTGTATGCTGGTGATTTTGAATGCTAGTGATCACGAATATTAATGATAGTGAATGCTGGTTATATTGAATGCTGGTGATCTTGAATACTGGTGATCTTGAATACTGATGATATTGAATGCTGGTGATATTGAATGCTGGTGAATTTGGATGTTGATGATCTTGAATACTTGTGATTTTGAATACTTGTGATCTTGAATGCTGGTGACCTTGAATACTGGTGATCTTGAATGTTATTGATATTGAATACTGGTGATCTTGAATGCTGGTGATCTTGAATATTCTTAATCTTAAATACATGTGATCTAACAAGCTTGTTTCTTTAATGCTATCGATATTGAATGCTGGTGATCTTAAAATATTGTGATCTTCAATGATGGTGATCTTAAAATATTGTGATCTTCAATGCTGGTGATCTTGAATGCTGGTGATATTGAATACTGGTGATCTTGAATGCTGGTGATCTTGAATACTGTTGATATTGAATGCTGGTGATCTTGAATACTGTTGATATTGAATGCTGGTGATCTTGAATACTGTTGATATTGAATGCTGGTAATCTTAAAAGCTTGTGATATGGAATGCTGGTGATTTTGAATGCTGCTTGATCAGATGTTCTTAACCTAATAGTAGTGTTTTGTCAAACCTTGAATGCATCAATTGTCATTTCTTGGTTCTACACCACTTTATACAGTTTAATATGATTGTCTCTCTCTCTAGATAAAATTGTGCGTGAGCTTACACATAGTGTACTGGTTTCAGGACACCAACATACAGCTTGAGGATCCTCTACATTCTCCAGTATAGTTGTCCTGTCTTTACAATCACCACTTACTCTATATATACATTTACACCAGTCATCACTCACAAAGAAGGACCCGTCATCTAATAGTGAGATATCGAATGGTCTTTTAATGTCTACATTCCTTCCTATCAACTCTCCCTGCCAATTAAACCATATAACTTCTTTTTTGCCTACATCAGATATATAGATTGAATGGCTGTTTGTGGTGACGTAATTAGGGTTACTGAAAATACTGTCACCATTGGAATCTTTCTCAACTTCAATTTTCAAATTACCTTTCAAGTCCATGATTTGGAGTTTAGCAGGATATGTAAATGCAACTGCAAGTTTCCCCAGATGATGGCTTATTCCACAGCAATCTCCATCTACTTTCAGTTTGTTTTTCAGTGAGAAAGACTTTGAGGAGAAGGAAATGAACTGTATTGTTTTAATGCCTGGTAATGTAACAGCAAGTGTATCTCTGGTCACTATGGTGATATCCCAGGGCTGTGATTTGAGCAGTAGTTGTTTGATTGCTCCACTGTTTATATCTATCATTTTAATTGAGGAATTATTGTTATCTGCTACAAATAATTGGTTCTTAGGAGCGACAGTGATACCAGTAATCCAGCAATATTCTTTATCTGAGGAAGTTTGAGCATCAATGTTTCTGGTGGTAGACATTTTCATCGGTACAGCAGCCTTATTCTTTGGTTGAGCTAGTTGCTTCAGTTCCTTTTTTCTCAATGTACCAATTGATTTCTCATTCTGAAGGAGTTTTTTCATTGCTTGATTTGGTTTAAAGATGTATTCGTAAATATCATCGCTTGTTTGTAGTTGTGTTGTGATTTTGGCATAATCTAGAATCAGTTGCTGAGCTATTTTAAGATCTATAAATAGATGGTCAGTTTTCTTGTCGGTGTTTAAAGTATCAGCTGATGCTTGGAGAGATTTGTTGATCTCATCACATGTAGTTTCTGTTGTTTTCAACTTTTTGTTGTTGTCATGTTGAATTGTTATAGCAGTATTCTTAACCTCCATTTCTAGTTCATCTAATCTCTTGTTTATCTCTGTCCTAAAGTTCGCTATTTCTACTATAGCATCTTTCAGAGAAATTGTTGATTTATCAACTCTTTGTTTCAAATCTTTTGTAATCTGGCCGCATTCCTCTGTTAATTTGCCAATATCTTTTAGTGTTTCTTTGAACTCAGTACTGCCTAAAATCTGTCCTGATATATCAGGTATGTAGTCCACATGGCAGGATGTTGTTGGGTGTTCAAGGGTCACACAAACATTACATAGGAGTACATTATGGTCATGACAGTAAAACTTTATCACTTCATTTGTATGTTTTGTACAAGGCTTTGCTGAATCACCATCCAGTGGGCCTGAAGTAGATTTTAATGATTTATTGAGGTCTTGTTTATGTGGCATGTGATCTTTGTCTAGAAGTTGGTGATGGCGTAGTGGTTTTGGTCGTCTGTGAGTGTTAAAGCAAGTTTGACATAAATGTACCTCACAATCCACACAGTAACCAAAGGCAGGTAGTCTGATGTCATCTTTGTCACATTGTTCACAGAAAATGTTAAAATCTTCAGCACCACCTCGAGATAGTGTAGATGAGAGTTTTTGAGATGACTTTTTACCAGGTACAGCCATAATGTAACCTAAAATAGAAAATAGTAGTTTATCGAAGTGTTCATCAGTGGCTTTATGTTCATAATGAATAAAGAAACTTGAAAGAATATAATTTTCTGTCTAATTCTTGCTGTAAATTCATTTTTTTCATGGACATGACATTTTGTGGTTTAATCTAAATGTGAACAAAATGACTTCCAACAGTTCAAATTGTCATCATTATACATTTACTTTGTGCATGACTAAATACTTTTAAAGTAAGGATACCAAACCAATAAAAAAGCAAATGTGAGCCTCTGTTTTCAGAACTGTCCATTATTAAATTTTGGGATATCAAGATTCTTAGAAAAGTCAGTTTTAGCCCAGTAGCAAAAGCTTATCACTTTAGTTCTGTTAAAATTGAATCATGTATAATAGGCACATCACTGTTGGCACACCAAACGCAACAAAATAACTAATAATTCAGTTTGAGTTGTGGGTGGGGCTCAGAAAATGTCTCTCAAGGTTATTCATGTTAAATCATTTTAGAATAATATACTATAAGTACATAGTAAACTTTAAGTTATAAACATAGATATTGAGTAAATTTACTCACCAGTGATTTATTCTTCTTATTAGGATATTGAAAAAAAATGTCCTCTTAAGTTCTGATCTGACAAGTCAATTCCTGTCTACTCAATGGTATGTTTACTTGTAAAGATAAATTTATAAAATGATATCATGTTACACCTACACTAGATAGTCAATACATTTGTAGATAAGGCTCTTGTTATCTTTTTAGAATGTTTACGGTAGTAATTTCCCTTAAAGGCCAAACCAAATTTTTTGTGTGTTATGTGTTCATGTGTGTCTTTTGTACTTTTGTTATGGGTGATTGAACTGGTTTTGCAAGTTAAGTGATGGATGGTTGATTTTGGTATGCAAGTTATTTTTAGATGATTTGGTTCTGGAGTCTAATATTTCGTAATGACTGTCCACTCCCTGTCTCGCTTTCGAAGTGGAAACACATTCTTTGTATTTAAATTTATATCATTTATTTCTTTATAGAAATATTTGTATTTTCTATATTTATTTGAAATTAGATCTCATCTATTTAAAGCCTGGTATGTATATATCTATTTTAATTGTAATTGTGAAATGCTTATAATATATATATTGTAATTATTGTAATTGTGAAATATGCAATTCATGAATTTTTTCTATTGTATAACATTTCTCTTTGTTATTTGTATTATAACCTTTATATTTTGTTATAGGTTTCTTCTACACCTGAACAAATTTAGTAAGCACTACACACTGTTAATTTTACTGAAGTAACCCCCACTACTACATTACATTTGATTTAAAGCAGTAGTTTAAGGCTTCTATCTTTTCAACCTTCTTTCTTTGGTATTTAGGTTTTATAAATTGATTATTTAAACAAAATGAATAAAAATGCCTGCTTGTAAGAAATACAATAGATAAACTCAGTGATATAGCTGATTTAAAACATTATTTATGTAGCTCGTGGTTTGTTTATAAAATTATTTCTATAAAGTGGAAATATCACAATATGTTTGTATAGTATAAATGGGAAAGTTTTGAACGACATTTAAAGAGACCGTTTATCTTGATTTTTTTTATGTTCGTCTGTTTTGGCTGTTATCCAATAAGTTAGATACATAAAAGAATAAGGTAAACGATTTAAACAGCTCAAAAGGAGCGACCTATTAGCAACTGTATCTGTTTAAAACATTTATTGTTTCTTTATTAACGTCTCATTTACTACATTCCATTGATATGCGTTGATAGACTTGACGTTTTTTTTAATAGATTATCCATTCAGTGCCTGATCGTAAAACACCCCTTTTTGTCCTCCGCCTTTTCGAAGCAAAACGGGGGATAAAGAAATAGGCTCCGTCCGTCCGTCTGTCCGTCCGTCCGTCACCCTTTCGTGTCCAGTCCAGTCCATTGTCATTTATCAAAGGAATTTGAAATTACTTGGCACAAATATTTGTGATAATAAGACGATGTGTCATGCGCAACAACCAGTCCCCTACCTCTAGGATCAAGGTCGCACTTGTTCATTAAAGGTCAACATTTTTTATTTGAGGGTATATGTTGTGTCCGGTCCATAACTTTCTTATCCTTTTATGAATTTTGTAAACACTTGCCACAAATGTTCACAATAATGAGACGATGTGTCAAATGCAACAACCGGTCACCTACCTCCAAAGTCAAGGTCACACTTGGAGGTCAAAGATTAACATCTGTTACAGGATATATTTTGTGTCCGGTCAATAACTTTTTCAAAGATCAAAGGATTTTGAAAATACTTGGCACAAATAGTCACTATATTAAGACAATATGTCATGCGCAACACCTGCATCACTACCTCCAAGGTCAAGATCAAACTTAGATGTCACAAATTAACGGGTATATTTTGTGTCGGATCTAGAACTTCTTCATAGTTCAAATGATTTTGAAATAACTTGGCACAAAATGTCACAATAATAAGGTGATATTGTAGCGTGAACCGAGCTGTTGGTTATCTATTCTAGTTGCTACAAAATAAAATCACAATGTTCTCAAATAATCTTGACATTCTTAAATGCAAATTCTAGAGCGTCCCGCCGAGATTTTTTCGTCGATTTTTTTCCAGCTTTATTGGTGGAGGAAGACCCCAAGTGCCCCTTCGCGCATTATTTCAGGCACGAGCGGGCACCTGGGTAGAACCACCGACCTTCCGTAAGCCAGCTGGATGGCTTCCTCACATGAAAGATTTCGACCCGAGTGAGGATCGAACCTACAGCGGTGAGGGACCTGTGATCTCAAGTCAGCGACCTTAACCACTCGGCCACGGAGGCCCCTTGAATATTTTGAACTGCGAACGCTCTATTTATACTAGTGATTGAACAATCTCCGCAGTGAATAAAAACAATAATTTTGATTGGCTAATAAAAATAAAACGTTTCTTGATACTGATTCTAACAAAATCTTATAAGCGTCTGTTACTTAAAGTTATTTCTCTTATGAACTACTGTGATTAACAGATAAACAATTTCAAATATAAACACTTAGAAGGATACCATAAAGTTTTAACTGATTTTAACGTACAGATGATTAAAATACCTACTCTTCATACCATGATATATTTACAAATACATGATTATATTTTTCCAATACAAATGGCGAACTTATATAAAGGGGAGGCAATAAACTTACCCATCAAGTACGTTTCCGTCACAATATGTCAAGTACAACACTTGCAGCCCTACCTTCAAGGTCGAGGTCACACTTAGAGATCAAAGATTAACATAGTCTGTTATAGGGTATATTTTGTGTCCAGTCCATAACTTTTTCATAGATTTGAAGGGATTTGAAAAATACTTTGCACAAATAGTCACAATAATAAGACGATATGTCAGACGCAAAACATGGGTCCCTACCTCCAAGGTCACACTAAGAGGTCAAAGATTGACATAGTCTGTTATAGGGTATATTTTGTGTCCGATCTATAACTTCTTCATAGTTCAAGGGATTTTGAAAAAACTAATAGTTCCAATAATAAGACGATATGTCACGCACAACACCTGCACCCTACCTCCAAGGTAAAGGTCACACTTAGAGGTCAAAGCTTAACATAATAGATTTTTAAATTCCGTGTTTCATTTTATTTCTTAAATAAATTTATTGTTGCATTTGCAGATCTAGCATTGATCATTATGTCACGGTTCAGAACTGTTCACTATTTAGGGGAGAAGATGTGTAAGCGGCCGGATAGCTCAGTCGGTAGAGCCGCGGAACGGTATTCCGAGGGTCCCGGGTTCGAGTCCCGGTCAGGCTGCACATTTTTCTCACCCTGTGACATTTGGCGCCCAACGTGGGGCCGTGACTGATATAGCTCAGAGTTTAATTTACATTGCTCTGTAACTCTGTGAAATTCGAGGACTTTGATATAAATATTTCTATTGGTTTGCGCCAGAAATTGTTGCCTTCTTTATTTATTTATTTATCAAGGCGTATGTTTATGTCCTTACAGGTAATTGTTGTTATTCATTATGTTTCATTATCATGCATATTTCCATTGATCGTTTATGTATTTCGGATCTGTATTTATGCACTTTGATATAAATATTTCTATTGGTTTGCGCCAGAAATTGTTGTCTTGTTTATTTATTTATTTATCAAGGCGTATGTTTATGTCCTTACAGGCATAAACAGACCATTCCTACATTTGAAAAAGGACCATACGACATTGGTGGCCAGTGTGGATTTTTATGTTTGGATTGGTATTTTCATGGTACGAATTTATTTGGGACGAAACAACGAACACAGACGGTGACGTAGGGAATTCCCGACTCCAGCCAATCAGAACGGCTTATATATTTCTTGTTTACTTCCGGTGACCGGGTACTCCTAAGGAATTTCATGAAAAGTTTGAAAACAAACAAAAGTTCAACTAGCTAGTTATTTTTCTGTATTTTAAAGAGCTCTAACATTTAATTAATTAAAGGTACCTATTGTTATTTATACTTCAACATTGGATTATTCACTTCTTTGGACCATTTAGACGACAACTATATATTTGTGGACTTTGAACATTTGTAAACAAACAGTGTAATTTGTAAATTCTTTAAAATTATTCAGTGTTTACATATTTTGGATAAGTGTCTTTTTCAATTTAATTAGTATCAAGTGCCATTTTATTGTTATATTGTATAATGTAGATCTAGGTTGATTTTTTCATTTATCTATATTGAGTGGTGTAAAATCTTAATCAAGATCTACATGTGAAAATCAATTTGTTTTGAACCAGAGATATACATGTACTGGTATCGAAGCAGTATCCGTCGGCTAGTAGTATCCGATAATACGGTTATTTTTGTTTACTGCAACTCTTCAAAATTGAAGGTGAGTTTTTTTGAGAACGATATCATTCAAGGAAAACATTCGACAGAATTTCTTCAATATAAATTAAACATTTAATATATCGTTCTCACCTTTATATTTTACAAGCAGGTGTGTTTACATTTTTCGCATGAGGGATTTCACGTGCTACTGTTGCGCATGCGCAAAGGATAACTCCATTAGGCACAAATTAAGACAAGTTTGCCCCCTTTGCCAGCGAATACAGACGACATTTCCAAAGTCGCTAATAATCATTCAAATTTCATAATAGTTAATAAATATAAGCTAGAGCTATGTGTTGTTGACATTTTTAATCAACAAATCTTGAAATTTTTATGTCTATTCCCTGAATAAATCGATACGAAAAGCAAAATTGACAGAAATGGGAAACCCGCGGCAATTTTCTCCTAACCAAGGGAGGCAACACGTACTGTTTATTATAGTCTACAGTATATTCTAACAGTAGGTTGTTTCCCGTATAGAAGGCTATTTTTATTATGGGGCACCTCATGGGGTTTTTAGAATAATTTTACAGAATTTCTTATATATATTTTCGTACTCGAAATTAATGTGTTATGGATTCATGAATGCAATAATACTCGTGGTACAAGCATACGATATGTCCGTGAAATGTAAAAAGTCTAGTTTTGACCAATGACCGTGATAAAAAATTTAATGATTAACAAGTTTCCTTTTTTTTTTCTTCTTTTTCTTTTCTTTTGTTTTATATTTATTTGTACAAATGTTCACATAAAAAATGTCTGTATTCAAATAGACATTAAAATACGTACAGTTGTTTGACCGGTTCCGACACAGGCTTTCAACTTTCGCT